ATATATATATATATTTTTTTGTATTTGTAGGGTTTTTTTTATTGTGGCAAAATACACATAAAATTTCCCATCTTAACCATTTTAAGTACACACTTTACTGGTATTAAGTACATTCGCATTGTTGAGCAGCCAGCACCCCCATCTGCCTCCAGAGCCCTTCTCATCTTGTAAAACTGAAACTCTGTCCCCATAAAGCACTACCTCCCCAGTCCCCCCTGACCTTGCAGCCCCTGAGGGCAGTTCCACTTTCTGTGCCTATGGACTTGACTACTCTAGGTGCCTCGTATAAGTGGACTCATACAGCATTTTTCTTTTTGTGGCTGGCTCAATTCACTTAGTAATGGCCACAGGGTTCATTCATGTGGAACCATGGGTCAGGGTCTCCTTGTTTTTTAAGGCTGAGGAACCTGCCATTGTATGCACGGACTGCATCATGTATATATCCACACAAATTATATTTTTAAGGTAGATATTTATATTAAAGTAGAAAAGAACTCAGTTCTATCAGTTTACTATGTCAAAGTTTTCCTTTAATCGGTGAAGTTTTACTTCTGAGTACCAGGCACCTGAATGAGAAATATAAGGTAGGAGTTTGCAATTACGATTATGGTACAGGGCAGGGGTTCAAGTTTCTAAATTGGAATTAAGAAACCATTGCAACAGTCCTGAATACAACAGGGCTCAAACCAGTGGATGAGAGGTTTACCAAATTTTAACAAATATAAAAATGCAGCTGTGAGGATCAACCAGAATTCAAATAGAAAAGGTAAGAAGTATAAATTTAAACTCTAGGACCACCCTGGAAGCCTGATGCTGAGCTGACAAAAACATGAAGCAGTAATTTTTACCTTGTAAGGAGAAATAATCAATTGCCTGGGATATAAGTCTGAAAAGTACAAGTGGACCAACAGATTATCACAACCTTGTTATTTCAGATTGTCAGCCGGGTCTTGCAATAATTATTGTGCCCCAGTTTTGAAATGTTTCTTTCTTTTTACTCCATGAATAAGTTGTAAGAATGGAATCACTACAGGATGATCAGATAAAAGAATATATCTATTCCAGTACAACCCCCAAATCCCACAATGCTTTTACATAAATTCTAAAAAGTAAGATATTTTGGATTTGGGGATAATAATGAAGAACATGTTCAAGAGGAGATCATGCTTTACCTCCCAGATCCTGTCTTCCATCGTTATATTACTAACTGAATCAACACATAATATGAAAGCCTTATTCTCTGTAAATCATTGGGAGATAGAGAAGAACTGAAGGAGAAAAGATGTACCAGCAAGAGTATTTGCCTCTGAAACAATCCGTATGTCTCTGTCTATGTTTATCTCTGTGTCTATTTCTATCTATCTTTCTTCATTTGGACTTACTTAGTTACCGTTTAGGTCAACAATTTTCTTGCCTTATTAGTTATTACTGTTATTATTTAAACATCCCCTGCCAGATCTAAGCCCTATAGATTACTTCTTGGGCAAAATTACTCTTAGGACCATAAATTGACTCAAATATCATTTATAATTAATCCGATTTTATTTTTCAGAACCACTTATAAAATGACTTCTATGTAACTTTTCGAGAAAACAAAATATTGCTGTATCAGCTGCCATTACAATGCATATTTTTCAATCTAATTCAAAAGGTATGGGTTAGGCTTTCTGAGTTTATATAGGCATGATGAAAATCATAGTAATTAATTTTATTCAGATACAGCTTATTCATAAAAAGAAGAGATTCTCCACATACCTCATGAAGCCGGAGGTCTTTCTCATAAACAAGCTTTTTTACAAATGCAGCTATAAATACAACCCAAGCAACCATGAGTACAATTGGAAGAGAATAAGAGACACTGGTTAGGAAGCTGTAAAAAAAAAAAAGAAAACAAAAATCCAGTGACCAAAATGAATGTCACTGGATTTTACAACTTGCAGATTGTAATATTCTAAGAACACATTTCCTCTTTCAATGAAATTATACTTATTTTAAAATTGAAAATAGTCATTAACATTACTCCATTTATTTATGAAGCTAACTTAAGAGTAGTCTGTGATTTTCTTTGCTGTTGCATTGCAAGAGTAAAAAACAGCTCTGGATTATTAGATAAAATTGCCATATTGTTTACAGCATGTTTGAGTATGTTCCTGTCCAGGCAAACGATTATTATATGGATATAATTGCAAGGCTCAGAACCCTTCTGTCTGAACTAATTCTTATCTAAATGGTAGATTTAAAATTAGATGATTATTGGTTTATCTAGCTAAAATCTATGTTGTCCAAATTACTATATTTATCTGCTTTTTGGAAGCTCAAAGTTATTATTAAAGCTAAGTTTTCCAAGAAAAAATAAAATAAAACTCAAAGCATTCAATTTAAAATGCAAACAAAGAACTTGGATTCCTCAATGCTCCAGGAAGATGTTTCATAAACAGTACAGAAATGTCTTTTCTATTATTGTACTGTGTCACTGGATGACCTCATCAGGCACCAAATATATTCCTGAGTGGCTTGCCCATGATGGACAGGAAAGTTCAAATTCAGTGTCGCTCAACATTCAAACATGCATCTGAATTACCTGAAAGGCTTACTGAAGCATGTGTTTTTGAGCCCCACCTATAAGCTTCTGATTTATTATATCTGGGTTGGGGTCCCAGGTGATGCTCATACTCCTGGTTCAGGGACCACACAAGCAGAACCGTGGCTCTGACATTAGCCACCTTTCCATGGGTTAAAAGCAAATGAGTAATTTTCAGTAAGAGGAACTATAAATTGATCTGTTTTACATCTTAGGCTCCACTGAAGCTTTTGCTTGAGAAAGGTCCCAAGGTTTCGCAAGAAAAAGGTTCCATTTCCTTTTTCTTCTATAAGTTTTCAGAATTATCTTCAAGGTCCCCATGAAAAACACAAACATTAATGGAATATGACATCATCATCATTCATTATCACCTGAAGGGTATCACCACCAGAGATGGGAGGGGTGTTTTGGTGGGGGAGGACTTAGGTTTGAGGCCAAATCCAATTTTTTTTGATTCCTGGGAAGCTGTGTGGCATGGGGTAGGCACTTAATGAATATTTGTTGAATTAGTTTTATTTTGATTTAGGTCCAGTCTTGATGCAGTTTATGTCTCTAAAAACAGGCAAAGGCCCTCATCATTAAAAACAAATCCCCTGTATGTTTCTTCCAAGTGATTGTGAATTTGGTATAGTATAAAGGAGAAAATGTTGGTCTCATAATCAAAGGACCAGTGAGCTACCAGCAATACAACATGGACCAGTTAGATAACCTTTCTGGAGGTCAGTTTTTCATCTGGAAGTACGGTTGATAATACTTCCTCCCACTTACCTAATGAGGTTGCTGGTGGAAAAAAAATAAAGTAATATGTGATAGAACTTTGTATGCAACAAAGAATTTATAAGTATATGTAAGGCAATATGATGATACTTCCATAAAGAATGAAGAATACAGTTACTTTTATCTTAAAAGAAACATCTGGGTACCCACCATCCTAGGTACCAAATTTACAAGGTGAAAAAAGTGAGCAGGAAAATAGATAAGAATTTTCATTGAACTGAACCCACAAGTCTTTACTATTCATGCAAGCCACTGCAGGTCACACACACAGTTCAGGCTGCAAGTCCGGACTGGTCTCTACAATACACAGCTAACCTTGATAACCCACTGACAAAATCCTGGCCTATCTCCCAGTATCACTGCTGCACAAACGGTTACATATCCTCATAACCCTTGTAGTTCTTAAAGAAGCCCAAGGAGACAGAAGCATAATTGAAAGAAAAAAAGAAAAAAAATTCAGAACCATCTGAATTGCATATAAGCTGCAATAATAGGGCTGAATAGCAAGTGCAATTTCTTTGGAGCAATATTCAGCCTCAAGCTTTTGTGTAGGAGGATGAACTTATTTTTTTTTTCCTCTGGTCAGAGTGGAGAAGCCCTTCAAGGCTACCCGACTGGCAGATTTCTTGACCATTCAAATTCAATGGTCTGAAAGCATGATCTTTACATTTTTTTGGTCTCTTAGCAAGCCATTCTAAATAAAGATTCTTAGCAAGTGGACCAATGGTACACAAAATAGTTTCAGATAGCACAACATTTATCTTTGAGAATTGATCAATGATATGTTTGCTCAAAATTTTTTTCCTTAAAACTGACCATGCCCTCACAGATTTTTAATTAAATCTGAGAGCTGGAAGAGCTTTTAAGATCATCTTGTTTAATCCCCTCATTTGCCTAGAGACAGGTAAGACCAATAGAAAGTGCTTCACATCAAAATCATGCAGCAAAGCACTCAAGTCGTGAGTCCAACTTTCCTAATTCAGGGGCCAACGTCCTCAGAAAGGTGAGGGTTACATGGAAAACATGGATCACTGGCAAGAACATCATCACCCTTTCAGCAGTAATGAACAGCTGTAGTGGAGCTGTGCCCAAGGGCATGGACCCTTTCCTGGAAACACGCATTTGACAAAGGTTTGGTCAACATTATCCCTTTCACTTGACACATGTAAATAAATAAATAGAAATGAATCCTCAAAAAAAGGCTGACTATGAAAAAAGGCTGGACCAGCACAGACTTACTTGTCTTTCATGTAGCAGGGGTAAGGAATTGCTTGGACCTGGACTGCTATTTCCTGGGAGTTCCTCCCAGTCTGCAGTTCAACGATCGCTCTTTCAATACTATCTTGTAAGTAAACAAAAGCTCTGCCATAGATCTGGTTGTGTGATGGAGAATTGTGAGGCCCTGGGGCCCAAATCTTCATTCTGATATTTCTCGTGGTCTGGGAGGTCTTGAGACTCATGCGGATGGTATATTTTATGATGGGAGGAAGAGAGACATTTTCAGAGTCATAACCTCCATTCTGGCTTCCATTAGAAGGAACTTTAAAAATAACACCTAAAAATAAAATGGCAACAACAGTGGAAAGGTTATTTTATGGTTGACATTATTCATTGTTTGGAGGGTACACTTAGGGCAATTGAGTTAGTAATGTGACAGTCAGTTTAGCTCCTAATTTACAGAAAAGATGGCTAATTGGAAGTGACCACCTCAGAGATTCAAAGAGTTTGAGAATATAATCACAGACTAAGAGGCCAGATTAAATTTAACACTCTAAGCCACTTACTGAAATTAAAAAAGACACACAGACACACACACACAAATGAATAACCGTGACTGATTATGAGCTTACACATCACTCTGTAACTATGTAACCCTTTTCAGGCTTGATTTTAACCATACCAACAAAACTACACATATATTGAAGGTTCTTCAGACAAAATAGTTCATGGCCTACATGAAAGGTTTTCATTTCTAAGGACATCAGAGGGGATATGACCCCCACTCCTTCAACCAAGACTACTTTTCTGGATTCTGGAGGAAAGAGGTGATGGAAGAATTTGGCCAATTTTAGTACAAAGAGAAGCTCAAAGTCTAGCAGAATATCACTTACTTCCAAAGAGTTCGTTCCTTCTGTAGAGCCTTTTAGCCTCTCTTTCCATTTCATCTATGTTTTTTGCTGCCTTGATACGGTCATATAAGATACAGGAGGAAATATTTACTGTCAGGGAAGATAGCACGTTAAGATGATCTATGAGGTCAATGCCGTTCTCTAATTTAAGCCTTAGAATATCTAAGGAAGAAAAGAGACAGACAAAAAGCATATTATAATGTTGTTTTTAGTAGTAATGAGACAAAATACTGATTTTTTTGTAAATACTAAACATTAAACTACATATATTAAACTACATAAATAATATGAAGTTATAGAATTTACTCTAGAAACAGCTAGTACCATACATCTAGGAAAATGTGTCTAGTTTTGTAAATATTCATTGAGAAGAAGGTTGAGCTAGTTACAGATACAGTTCAAAGAATGACATGGGCTAATTTGAAAATATATTCTTGTTGGAAAATACAGCATAAGGAATATAGTCAATAATATTGTAATAACTCTGTATGATGGTAACTATACTTAATCATGGTGAGCATTTCCTAATGTATGCAATTGCCTCATCATTATGTTGTACATCTGAACCTAAAATAAAACTGTTTGTCAATATACTATACATCAATTAAAGATGAAAATTAAGAAAATCTTCATTCGAAAACAGGCATATTCTGCAACAATTCAATTAACCAGTGACTAAAGGTGAATAATTTGTTTTAAAGTCTATCTACATGTAGTTAGGAGGAAAATTGTAAACTAGAGATGAAACTTTCAAAAAAGCACAAATGCTTACTTGGCTCAGAGAATGTGAATGTAAGGACTTAAAGGAAAGCCTACGTAGCGTTTGTGGAACAAATGAAGTATATCATTCAGTAAGTTGTGCTACAGAATCGTTTTTGAGGAGACCGTGAGAATCTATGCCACACAGTTACAACTTTCTAATATTGTTCAATTTTAAATCTTTTGTGAGTTATTTCTCTTAATATGTGTGTTAATCTAGAAAAATGACCAAGATTATATTTCAGGCAATTACTCTGGAACAAAGAGGATTTTATTGCTCTTCAATTTTATGATTCCTTTTAAGGAAATCAACTTCAACAAAGGGTAAATAGGAAATTGCAAATTAATAAATCACTTGGCCAATTAAATTTTCACTGATTTGATCATTATGAGTACCAAAAACACTGTGCATAGCATAAATCTCTCCTCAGAGACCCCAAACATGCCTCTTCCATAGTCCAATATAAGACTTAATTTCTCAAAGAGGGGAAGTTCTTAAATGTATTTCTCATTAGAATTTAAAGTGAAATGATAGGCTTGATATAGATGTTAGTGGGGAGGGGTAAAACTGTGGTTGAACGGTGGCCTCCCACTGGCACTGGAAATAACACAACCCCAAGGATTCTTCAGAAATGCTGGCAAACAGAATCAAAGAAGAGCTATGGAGGTCAGTGCCCCCCAGATTCAAAATATACAACCTCTTAGACACTAAGTTACCTATACAATGATATAAACTCATCTTACTGCTATAAAATTCGTTTTAGTCTTATTCTAAATTCTAAAACTCACTTGCTATATTTAAAGTTAGGAATGATAAAATTTATATGAGAACTCTATAGTATATTCCTGATATTTTGATCAAATGGTTACTTAATTATACTTAGAGATTTTAGAAATAAATCCATTAATGCCATTCCTAAACTTAGTCCACTGTCATAAAGTGCATACAACCACACACAATACAAATGTAGGCAGAATTTCTCCCCGCTGGGTTAACAGCCTCAGTCATTTGTGTCCCAGCAGCCTCAAGGAGGAGGAGGGGCATCTGCTCCACTGCTGCCAAATTCTGACGCTCTCAATCCTTTCCTCATGCCCAGGGTTGCATAGCAACAGTGAATCACACAGACTGAATTAGAGGTCTTGCATCCCTGAGGTTGAAGGTGGGTATGCGGCAGAGGGAATACATCAGTTCAGACAGCTTCCTTTGATCCTCTTCGGCCTGTTCCTTTTAAATGACCATGAGAGGAGGATCCAACCTTGAATACTGATTTAGGTTTGTTTTCTTCTGAGTCCCTGCATTGCCTTTGTTTTGCTTTTGCTAACCCTGTGCCTCTTCCAGGTCTGGGTTAGTCAAAGTTATATTGAGGCCAGTGGAGATAAAATGTTAAATGTAGCCAGAAATAGACCATTTCGCTCCCTTTGTCCCAAGGACTTGGTTTTTCATCAAGTCACCCAAAAAACAAAGGTCTCCTTTTCTTCTAGCAACCTACCAACCTACCTATGATTGTAGAAAGCTGCAAATATCCAGGATTTTAGTTTTCTTAGAATAACAAGATAGAAGCCAAATACAGAAGAAAAGTAATGAAGTTCTCATATGGGGCAATGTTTTTTACATCGCCAACATGACTAGTGAATGGAAGTTTTGTGAATGTGGACTCACCAAGTTCATCCATCTGTTTCAATAGTTCAACAGCATCAAGTCCCACGGAGAATTTTATAAAAACTTGCACAAAAGGGTTCCTCAGAGTATTCTAACAAAGAACAGCAGGGAATCAGTTTCAATACAAGAAGAAAACATGTTTAATCACTGTCTCTCTAATAACACCTGCAGTGAAATGAAGTAACCACCACTGGGCATTACCAATGCCCCATCCTACAAAGGCTCACTTACAAATCCTTGAGAAGGAAATAGAAGGTATGTGACTGGGGATGACTTGAAAGTCTAGGCTTTTACTTGTCTGCAGACAAATTGGTTGGCATGCTGAAGTGGCCAGATGCTACCGTAATTATCAACAATAGGGAATTCTACTCAGTTCAACAGTCCTTTTTTTCAAATTGCATCATTTGTTTTTAACATACACTATACACAATTTTGGTGGTTCACAGGCAAATTCTGTTCAGCTTAAACAACCAAAAACAACTTTTGAAATCTGTGGTGTCTTCATGGAATGTGACATCACAACCGATTTGTTTCCTAGCTCTATTCCTTCCTAGTTGTGAAGCTTTCTGCACGCACTCAGCCTTCCCAGCTTCAAGTTACTTTTCTGTAAAGCAGGGATGAGTGACTAACCAGAACAGTGGGATGTAAATTATTATAATATTATTTACTATTGAAATAAATGAAAGATATGTAAACATGGAAAAATAAACTGAGGATAAAACTTTAAATTACTCTATATCCATGGAAAGGCTAAGAAGAATAAAAAGAATGAAGATGAAAAAAAATCAAATATAAAGGCTTTTATAGTTGTCTGTTAAATTGGGAGACATAACTTCTACCACTATAGAAATACTACTAGGTAATACTCTTTGAGATCTCAGTATGTACCAGGCACTGTCTAATAGAGTTTACCTTGATTTTCTTACTTAGTTTTCAAAACACAGCAAGGTGAGTATTATTATTATTCCCAGTTATTAGATAATAACACTAGGGCTAAATTCCCTTAAAAACAATTAATAGGGGTGAAGGGGAAAGCTGAAGGGAGAAAATTCAAATTGATTAGAGAATTATTTACTTATGTGTAAATTCATGGCCTAGTTTTTTATGTGAACAGGCTTAAGTTGGTTGTCTATTTAGAGGACAATCAGTACCACTTACTGTTTGGTCCTTACCCATATCATCAGTTTTGTTATCATGGAGATAAATGATTAAGAATAATATGTATTAATAGAGCACATATATATTAGAATTAATTCACTAAATCCATAGCTGCTGAGGGGTCTAAGAGTAGCTGGCAGCATTGGGGACTGACAGCTAACACACAGCTATACACCATGATAACACAAGCCTTTTAAATCTAACTATCTACTAGGAATTAACTTGTGTATCATGGGAAATCAGAATCAGAGCATCACTAATAAGCAAAGCAAATTGTAAAACAATTTATATCACTAGCCGTGTCTTAAGATCGACTTGTAAGATGGCTTATCTCTGTATTACAGGCAGAGAAGCCACACTACAAGAGGTAAGGATGATTATGATTGTGAGTCACATTTGTTATCCTGTCTCAGACCTGCTCTCTGGAGGAGAGGCAATTTAAGTCTGTTGAATATGGATTATAAGTTACATTTGCCCATCCCCATAATGAATTTAAATCTTGAAGAATTATTAATTCCTCAAAAGGGGAATGACAGAACCTTCTCTTACCTGGAGCATTGGAATTGTTTGTTTTAACAGGTGGAAGGAATTCATGAAAAGTGGTGACTTATCCATCCACTCTTGACATTTTTCTCTTAATTCTGCCAACTGCCTTAGAGTTACATTAGACTGAAAGACAAAAAAACAAAAACAGATGTGGTCCATGAGTATTTTTCCTATAGTTCAAAAAGGTCTCTTAAGGGCTACCACCTGATCAACACTGTTTACACATATATAGGGCAGAAGTTGAGAACTATTAAGAGTTTCAGAAAGCCAAGGTAATAGTAGGTAAGATAAAAGAAATCTGAATCAGCAAGAATAAATTGCAAATTCATCTCCATACTTAAGATAGAAACTCAGAATTATAATGATCAAACCTTTTCCATTATTGCCTTTGTGACAGGGGTGTATGGTGTGTACAAAATCCTTCCCAACAACATAGGTTTCAAGAAAGCCCAAATAATAGGCCCAGCAGGCATGTCGATGATGTCTTTATAAAGGGAGAAGCAAAATGGTGCTGGAAGGAAAAAGTGTAATAAAACCATTTAGTATATGTATTTAAAATCTACTTCCTCATGGTAAATTGACACAGATTATACAGACAAAAATACATGCCTTATACTTCCTTTTATTATTAACATGTGGGCAGTATCTGGTATCAAAGTAAGAAAGCATAGTCACAAATCATTTTTAGGGGTGAAAGTTTAACCCAATAAGCAAACCCACAATAAGTGATGGAATTTTGCCAGAGGAGTTAGAAAGATTGAAAACTACATTTCAAAATTTCTTCCACCAGCTCCACCACACCAGTACTTAATTTAAAAAAATATACACAACTCTGCTATGAGGATAGTATCAGATACATACTATCTGTTCAATAAATGTTTGTTGAATGAATAAATATATGAATAAATGAGTCAGTCCAATTGCTCTACTAAACATCCATGTATTATTTGGAAGAGCTCAGCTGATGGTATTTTGCATCTCAAATTTTATAGGTCAAGTAAATGGCTTTGATGTGTCACTAACCATATGTTTTTGGGGGGATGATTCAAACTACTTGGCTGTCACATAGGTTGGGACAATAATGTAGATGTTCTCTGGGACCTCTCTAGCTTAAATAATGTGCCACTAAATATTTATAGTTCTGTTATATTCACAGAACTCTTCTATATGTGATAAAGATTTCTAATTCTAGAAAGTTAAGAAAAAGTATTGACCTGAGATTTGAGGCACGTTTTTGTATTATACACCAGCAAGGCAGGTGTAGCTGTGACTGACAGATTCTTAAGTGTCATGGTTAAGGGGCTAGGCTTTGAGGCAGACTACCTGGATTCAGCTCCCAGTTCTGGTCCTTCCTGTTGGGCGACCATGGCCAGGTTCCTTAGTCTCTTTGTGCCTCATTTCCCCTTACTAAAATGGAGATATAGTAGTGCCCACCTCAGAGGGTCGTTGTGGAGAGTGAATGGATTGATATACATAACATGCTTGATGTGTGGGAAGTGCTGTACAACTGTTTTCTATTTTTATTATCGGAGAAAATTAGTAGGTCATTTACTATAAAAGGCCAAGATCTAGTAGACAGTGTTGCTGGGGGACGATATTGCTATGCTGATTTTGAAGTACTCACTGGTATGTATGGGAATTCCGTATTTTGAAGCAATTTGCTCTTTACTCAGTTTGGAAGTCAAAAAATCCTTGGTGGTGTTGCCTCTTTGCTTCTGAGAGGAGGGCAACAAAGCAGTTAGATACTCAGTGGTGATTCCTTGGGAACACAACGCCTGAGAGATGGTACTAAATGATCCTTGGGGTGTGTTCATTCGGTTGTTTCTGTATATTGCCTATGAGATAAAAATTCATGATTTATTAACATTTTATGAGCTATAAATGTGACTAAAAAATAATACAGAAGAAAATCTGACAATGCTTAGAGTATCCTTATATTTACCATAATATCTTCACAGTATGTATCCCAAATAGAAATGCAGAATGCTAAAACTTCAATTTAAGTGGCAAAAACTTTTGCCAGAGTAGAAGTTTTCCTATAGGCGATTTTTTCCAATGTACTGTATTTGTAGTTGAATGTATTATAACTAAGGCCAAATACAAGTTAACATAATGAAAGGAATTTTCCAACAGGAACATTACTGGGTGACTTTTCTACCTGTGTAAATGGAACACTTCTGGGCAGATGCATTTGTTTCAAGGACCTCATTTTGTCTAGCAGCGGATGTGTGCTGGAAGCCATCTGATTGAGAATCTCTTTTAGCCTTATGAAGAGTTCTATCATCTTTTCTACTGGCTTTTGATCTTTCCTAGGGAAAAAGACCTAATGGGAACAGAATAAAAATAAATGAATCATGTGGAGAAGCCAGAATCCTCCCACATGTTGATGAGAATCTTAAAAGGTACAGCCACTTTGGAATACATTTTGGAAGTTTATTAAACCATTAAACATCAATTTACCATATAACCCAGCAATTCCATTCCTAGGTATTTACCCAAGAGAAATGAAAATATTATATGTCCACCCAAAGATTTACATATGAGTGTTCATGGCAGCATTTCTCACAAGAACTAAAAAAGTGGAACAATCCAAATGAATGGATAAATAAAATGTATATCCTTAAACTGGAGTATAAAATAAATTAATACAGACACATGTTATAACATGTAAGAAACTCAAAAATATTACACTAAATGAAAAAGCTGATACTAAGACTATATACTGTATGATTAATTTAGATAAAATATCTAAAAAATGCAAAACTATAGAGACAGAAAATAGATGAGAGGCTTCCTGGGTGACAGGTCAGAATGAGAAGTGATTGCATATGGACATGGAGTTTCTTTGGGGTAGGCAGAAATGTTACAAAATTAGACTGTGGTAATAGTTGCACAATTCTATATAGTTACTAAAATTCACTGAATGGGGCAATTAAAATGAGTGCATTCTACAGTATATAAATCATATCTCAATAAAGGTGTCAAAAATAAATGATTTTAAAGTTCAGAGAGGCAAATGTCAATTACATAATTCTTCATGTATACTATTGCTCAAAATTCATAGAATGTGCTCCTTAAAATCAGAAAAGCTCAGTCAGATGGCTCATGTGATTTATCAGCCTTAATCATAATGTACAATGCTTTTTCGCTGCAAGAGGGAACTGAAACTACTTAAAAATTTTCAAGTATTTTCATTTATTCACCAAACATTATTCACCAAACTGAGTGTCTGCTATGTTCCCAGCACTAGATGAGGTGATGGGCATAAAGCAGTGCACAAATTGGCACCATCTCTCTACTCAGAGAGCCTTGGTTTAATAAGAGGGACAGATACCAAACTGGTCACCAAACCAAAGGCTGGAGAACCTGAGGAGGCAGGGAGAGTTTGGCTAAGAAATCAAAGGAAGTCTTTCTAAGGCGGCACCAAACCTTAAGAGAAGAAAAGAGGAGAAGGTCAGAGGTAGAAAGCGGAGGGTGTGTGAGGTCCGCGAGGAGGGAGGGCTCTTAGCGTGTCCAAGGAAATCAAAGACCATCATTATGAACACGAGTTTCAGTTGGAGGGACATCATGAAGACAGCTTCCTCACTAGCACAGCTACTAACTGTACTCAGATTTTTCTAAAGCAAAACCAAAATCTTTCTTCCAGTTCTGCCAAAATTCTAGGTATTCCTACACTGATGTGAAATAAATTGATAAATGATGAGAAAACTTTCATTATTTTTGCTTGAAATGACTGAAAGAATTAGGAATGATCTGCTTGTCAGACAATGCACATAGTTAATTACTGGACTCAACAAGAAATACTAGGCTTGATATCTCTTCTTCAGAGGCATTATAAAATCAGGACTAAAATTTTGTGTGAGCAAAATTAATAATTTTACTTCATATGCATTTCAGTTACAGTTTATGTAAACTAACTATTCAACTACTTAAAGGGCATTTGCTGAGTTCTTTTATGGGCCAGGCACTGTTCTTGGCATTTGAAATGTTTCAGTGAACAAAGAGGCCCTTTATGGAGCTTATATCCTAATGAGATAGATAGAAAATAAACAACAACAATGAACATTAAATAAAATATAGTATTCTGAAAGTGCAATAGTAAACAAACAGATCAAGTAAAAGAGGTTTGCAAGTGCTGCTCAGGGTAGGCTTTACTGAGAAGGTCAATGTTAGGAAAAGGCAAATTGCCCTCCAAATCACATCAAGGGTGCCTCCTGGAGCAGTGCCATGCAGCAGCTATGGGCCCAAGGAGTAACCAAACAGTAAATGGGATTTTAGAGATGGGAGGGTTGTGCATGTTATGGAGCCCCTATAAGACTTGGGGGTTTATTTGAATAAAATGAGGAGCCACTGGACGTTGTTAAGCAGAGGAGTAACGCAAGTGACTTAAGTTTTAAAAGGATCACTCTTGCTGCTTAAAGATGATGGTGCAAGTTGGCAGGGGTCCAAGTGTGGAGGCAGGAAGGCCAGTTAAGAGGCCATAGCAGAAACATAGGTGTGGGAAAGTGATAACCCAGAACAGGATCACTTATAACGAGTCCTAAAACATCTCATCCCCTCTGCTATAATGTCTCAACAGCAAAAGTCAGCCATGTTGCTACTGGTTTTTCTTACTTTTAAGAGAAAAACATTTTTTTTCAGTGTTTTGCATAATGTAAACATTTTTGGGCTTAGTATATATTTGCACAAACATGGGTGTTTAATTTTCCTATGCTGACTTTTTCCTTCAGTTTTTTTTATTAAACAAGTACTTATAAAGCATGTACGTATAATAAGATGGAATCAGCACTAACTTTTCTGGCCCCTGACAATGACCATTGGTTTTGCAAAAGTAATGGCAACCTTTTTCTAAATTGATAAGGAAACACACACAAACATTTGTAAACACCAATAAAAACATTTTTATTTTATTAAAAAAAAAACCTTTGTTCTAATCTTTTTTATCCTACCATATTAATGCTTATTCAGTGTAAAAAAAATTGTAACATTTGTATTTCATACTTTATTATAGTATATATTAAATTTAATACCTGGTCTTGGATACACAAACTGAGAGTTAATATTAATTTCCTCACCTATAAAATGTGCAAATTTGCAATATATGATCTCTAAGGTCTCATTTAGCTCTAAAATAAAGCTGTAATTCCAAGAGCTGTATAAATGGTTCTCATTCTTTATAGTATCAGAGGGCATACATGTGTAATCAAACATTTTTATACTAAACTATGACTATAAAAATACTTCATCAACAGCAACTTGCCTTGTATGTGAAATTGTAAACATCTAAGTAGTGCAGAAGGGTGAGTCCCATGAGGTAAGACTGACGGGATCTTTCTGGAAGAGGCAGGCTGCAGAATTCCTTCAGAGCATCTTCCATTTGGGGATAGGTCATATTAGCGTCACAAGAATGCAACCAGAACACATGAGAAATAATCTGTAAATTGGAGGAAGAAAAATACCTTAGCTGTGAATCCTTTGAGACCCATCTGTCCATTTTGAGAGGTTTTTCTTATACCATTAGACTGTATTTAAAGTAACAAATTATCCTCAAAATCAAATAATTTTTTATTTAAAGCACTAATTATTAACAATAAAACTATAGTCCATAGTTTACTGGAAAGCTTAAGAAATAAGATGGTTAGAAGAGATGAGAGAAGAGACTGATTTCCTGCTTGAACAACTGGGTGAGAGATGGTATCAAGAAAGAAAATTGATTTGGAGTAAGTCTGGGAAAAATACTGGTTTAAGACTCCTGTTTTCTTTAAAATGGTCCTTAGTTTATTCAAATTGCATTTCATTTTTATAATCATTCAAAGTTAAAATCTTGTGCAATAACCTCTGTGATCCAGAGATGAAAGGCAAAGAAAAAATCACACAATAGTATGATTCAACCATCCTGGCCGGTAATGCTGTGTGAAAAGTGAGGTGTGAATATGAGAAGGGAGGTAACATCTCTATTGCCACCGAGCTGAAATAAAGAAAAAAAGTTTGTGAAATCCGAGCTTTCTGAAACTTTCCTCTGTCCTTTTGAAAGTAATAAGAAAGCATGCTCTCCATTAATATATTTTTATTTCCTACAATTAACCTGTTCTTCAGAAGCCAAACATATGATTGCTGAAATTAGATCTTAGGATCAAATGAGCAAAAGGTGAGATCAAAGGGAAAAGGTGAATGAATATTATTTGCTAAAATAAGAGGAAAAAAAAAGTGAAGACGAAGCCGTTTAAATTTTTGTATGGGGCAACCGATTAACATGGCACAAGTGAACATAAACATTTTCCAAAGGCAGCCTTAAAGGCTTTTTAAAAACTTAATCCAACATTGAAGCCTATCTGGGGTGTACTTTGAAATGACACACTCCGTCACACATAAATTTTGAATGGATGAGGCTTAAGCTCTGCAGCTCTTTTAGAAAATTTCTATGACACTTCCAGACAATGAACTTGGAAAAGGGATAAAAAAGATAAGACATTTCAAGTGGAAAACCCTATTATCAGACTATGAGGAAATGACATTATTCATTTTCACATCAAAAAATGGTCCCACAAACAGACCCAGAGTTCCTTGCTCTTATTTATTTAATATACTGTGTCTTTTCTTGGGAGTTTTAAAAAAGTAAAAATGCGTATTCATTTTTATTTTATTTTAACTTCAACAAATTGTAAATGGCCTCTCTGTTTTTTTCCCTTAATATGACTTTGATATCATCATAACAGAATGTGATAATGTGATTGTGATCATGAGTACGGAGGATTGTTGATGGCTACACCTATTTAAGAAAACCATCCAGGGGTTAAGGAAAAGGAGAGGACGAGAGAAACAGGAGGAAGGAGAAGGGAAACTGGAGAGAACGGAACAAGCAGTGATAATATTCTTGCTTCAGGATTTTTCTTCTCTCTTCACTAAGAAATAAGCCTCTTACTTTATCATTTGCATGAACTCCTCAGTGTCTTCTTTAGGTTCTTAAGAAATGCTAAATGCTGTTGAAACTCTGAAAACCTGGATGGAAGGACAGATACACCACACCTCACCTCAGCCCTGTCATCAGGGATAGGAGTGGCCAGCAACTTGTCGATACTCCTATTGGACATTCCTGCTGTTCTCAGTTCCTCTTTCAGCTCTTCAACATTTTTAAACATTTCTATTAACTGACCTTCAAGAAAAAAGAAAAAAAAGAAAAAAGCCCTTGTTGGTTGCAGTGTAATTCTTTTTAGTTATACTAACACAGAGAAACCTTCTAGACTGAAACATATATTCAACATATATGCCTTGTGTCAGGAGCAGATGTCTCTCTGCTTTGGCAAACTTTGCGTCTTCAGGATCTATTTCTATCTGATTTCGACTTGCTCCTATTATGATATCATTAACCCAAGGTAACAGATTGCTCTGGGTTATAAATTTTCCTTCGATGTCTACAATGCAAAGAAAATATGGTTTCCTCACAGACTTTGATCACGTAATGCACTAAATATATATCTTTCCATTTTATTTAAAATATCACACAAATTCAAAATGCTTTTTAACCTTGGATCATATACTATTGTTAAGTTAGGACAAGGTTTGCTAAATCCATAACATAATGCTATGGCACATTTTTCTTTAACTTCGCCTAGCACACGTTTATTTATTTACTTACTTATTTTATTAAGTTATCATTGATATACACTCTTATGAAGGTTTCATAAGAAAAACAATGTGGTTACTACATTCACCCTTATTTATTGAGTCCCACCCATGCCCCATTGCAGTCACTATCCATCAGTGTAGTAAGAAGCCACAGAGTCCGTATTTGTCTTCCCTGTGACCTCACACACACCATGTACACACTAGTTTATAAAGGGTTTTCACAATCACTACCTCACTTTTAAATAGGATGTGTTTAACTTCAAACTCTGAGGACAGTGATTATAATTATTCACATCTGGGTCATTTAACGCACAGCAAATGATATTTTGACTCTCTTTTGCAGATTGTGATCTCCATTTTGCAAGTGCCTTTTGATTTCTTTATGAAGTATCCCTAATGCAAATATACCTTCTATACTTCTGGACTTGGAGTCCTTCCAATTTTATGGCTGCCTACAGTCCAAAATTCTGAATGCCTCTCTTTTCTGGATCGAGGTATTATGCAAAGAAGAAACATATTGAAGGGTGCATCATGCTCAGAGTACTGAGAGGAGGTTCTGAACTGAGATTTCCATAGACAGCAGAGCATCTTTTTTATTTATTAAATCAGATTATTCAAACGGAACTAAATAAATTTCATCCTAGCTCTTGCAACTATCTAAGGCACTTTAATATATCAGAGAAATAAAAGGTGAATGGTCTAACTAGTTAAGTTTTTGAAGATCTTTCTGCTGTGAAATCAATTCCCTATTTCATTCTCTGCTGGCTTTCTGTGTGTTTATTTTAGACAAGTATATTTGAAAGGTTCAGATTTCTCTATATAAGGGCAGATACAAAGTAAGTATGATTGGGAACTTCAAAAGAAACTTTCTTAAACTGCAGCAGACAATCACGTGCATTCTAGTAAGGCAGCATTTAAAATATGGATGGAGAAACACCTGGTTTTTCAGAAGTGTCTTCACTGTTATTGACATGTAGCACAGCTTCTATGATCGGCATTAAACGTGTGATATTTTCCATAAAATTCATTTGCAACGCCTTTTCTAGAAACCTGGGACAAAACAGACGGGAAGACATTGAACGAGCCATATCAATGATCATTTCAGAAGGGATTTCACCAAGGAGGAAGACAATGCAAAAAACTTACCGATCCATATTTAAATTAATTCTGCTTGGATCTCCAGTCAGCAAATCACTCAGTTTTTTAGATATGATGTTGTCACTATACAGCAAGGTGGTTGCTATTTCAGTGCCGAGCTCGGCTGCCTCAAGGAGTTGCACATGAAACGCACTCTCTTCACACAGGTTCTCAAAGTTCATGTTAGAGAGCTGGCACATTTTCTCAATTGAATTGAAAGTTTCAGATTCACAAAGAAGTTTGGTCAGGTTTCGAAGTTGAGACAGCTTTTTGGAAAGGAGAAAGAGTGGAAAATAGGTATGTACATTATCCTAAATACTCAGTAGTTGATAGTAAGCAACCAAAATTGATTTATTTCAAAAAAACATTTTGCATGTGTTTAGTTAGTTGGCATTTATGACAGTTTCACCGCAAAGCACTATTTCCTGTCATTTGAGTTTATTGTTCCTTTAAGGATATTATAAAACATGTATTATATAGACCTGTATTTTTAGCTGTGCTCATATCTTATAGATTCACAAGTTAAAAAGATAAAGTTCATACTGTTTAAATAACAAATACTTAATTTTATATTTTAGTTCATATTATAAATCATATGTCAGAGCTGAGGACAAAGCAGGTTTGGTTTGGAACTTCAAAAAGGGCTTTCTTCCATTAGGATGGCTATTGTGAAAAAAAACAGAAGATAATAAGTACTGGGAAAATACAGAGAAGTTAGAACACTTGTGCACTGCTGGTGGGAATGTAAACTGATGCTGGTGGGAGTGTAAAATGTCACTATGGAAAACAGTATGGTAGTTTCTCAAAAAATTAAAAATAGATTATGCTCCAGCAATTCCACTTCTGTATATATATCCAGAAGTATTGAAAGCTGGGTTTCAAACACGTATTTGTGCAGCTCTATTCACAATAATCAAGAGGCGGAAGCAACCCAAGTGTCCATTGATAGATGAATGGAGAAAGACAATATGTTACATACATGCAATGGAATATTATTCAGCCTCAAAAAGGAAATAAATTCTGACACTACAATACAAATGAACTGTGAGGACACTGTGCTAAGTGAAATAAACCACTCAGAAGAAGGCAAATACTGGATGATTATACTTGTACAAGGTAACTAGAGTAGTCAAATTCCTAGTAACAGGGTTTCAGTTTTGCAAGATTGAAAGAATTGGGGAGACTGGTCGCATGACATTGGGGATGCATTTAATGTGACTAAACTGTACAGTTAAAAATGGTTAAGGTAGCAAATTTCATGTTATGTGTACTTTACCAAAACTTTAAAAAATTAATTGACAAGAATAAAAGTGTTTTTTAAGCTTCAGGATGAAAGTCATATGCGTTTTAATAAGGCTGCATTTAAAATATGGATGGGGAATCAGCTGGTGTTTCAGAAATATCTGCAATGTTAGTGAACTTATCTTCCATCCTCTTTCTTATTGAAGGAAACTAGGTGCTTTTGTTCTGTGTAAGTGCTTAAAAGTCCTGTGTCAATAATAATTTTAAGAAAAATAAATAACTTGGAGCAACATTTAAAGAAGCAAATACATGTATCATTCACTGCAGCGCAGTTTCCAATCAGAGTTGCAGTTTGACAGAAATGAGGTATTTTATGATATAGACAAATGTTTAGGAATATTTCTATCCATATGTCAAGGGGAAAAGGTGCAATGTGTCTCTGATGAGAAGTGTATAGTAACTGCATGTAGGCAGTAGATATTAAACACTCATCATCTTAGATAGTAAATATCATCGGTCTAGTTTCTGCTGCATTTAATATTCTAATTGACTTCTGGCTTTGAACTATCTAAAATGGTCTCATATCAAAATTCTGCTTACTAATCTTGTTGCAATGAGAAATTTTCCATTATGTAAAGATTCAGTTGTTAAATCAGCAGTAACTAACCACTCTATTTCTTCCTTTGATTTTTTTCAAATACTAGGTATTATTAGGCTTCTAATGAATGGAGCCAAGCTTTCCTGCCACAAAATAAAAGTGACTTTTATTTTGGTGACTTCTTAAATAAAAGGATAAATACTGGTAGCCCAGTATATTTGCTTTAATTGAGCTTTTGAGGGTGCAGTAAAGTTGAATAGTTTTTACTCAGTAGAGACTGGGCATACATGTATGAGAAACCAATGTAAGTCCATATAGTGCAATATTCGATTGATAAAAGTCACAGAAAGAGAAATTGGAAACCTAGCCATGCTACGTCAGTAGAATTGTTTCTCTGAAATAAGAATTCAAATCAGGGTCAGTGATGTAGAATGCTCTGTGGGGCACATTCACCAAGGAACAACATGATGGTCACTAATATTTGTCATTATTTACTATTTTTTCTAGAAGCAATACATACATTTAACCTTCAGAAGCTTCACTGATCATTAGAAATCAACATAAATTTAGGGAGTTATAATTCTCTCTTCAAAGGTATATGCTGAGTCCAGATTGCAGGCTTGTCAGAGCCTCGTTTAGGGCCATCTCTCTTCTCTCATAACCCTGGTCTGCAGAATGAGTAAGGGCTCAGGTCTGAATGTGAACGAGGACCCGCAACTAACTTCATGTCCAGCTGTGACTGAATTCCCTAGTGGCTGTGGTGCCCAAATGCATCTGAATCAGAATTGTGATAGGATGGTATAGACCTCAAAATACCATAGGCATAAAAACAGTAAAACAGCAATGCTTCCTGGCAGTTAAATGCAGGGGAAAGGGGACTGCTTAAATATTTTAAAGTGTTACAATAAAAATACTGTGCGAATCATATTTTTACCTAATATGGGGAATATCTACTTTATGGTAGTTCCCCAGTCAGGAAGTTATCCTCCCCCCAGAGAGACTGTTAAGAATAAGGGAGAAAATAGACAATGAAGGAAGAAAACACAAAAGCTCAAGAAGAAAGGATGTTAGTGCCAAAAGGGGTGGGAACAGAGGGAAAAGTCACCCATGAATGACAGACTTTCAGCATTTGGAGGGTCTAAACCTTCTTAGAAATGTATGAATTAAGTTTTGGAGTGGGTGGTCCTTACTGACTTTCACATTCAAAATACCCATTGCCAGACAGGGCAACACAGGGAAGTAAAAGTGTCTCTTGTAAAATTCTAGGAGTTTGTCTTCATTCTTTCCATGATATGTTCTGTATAGTTCCCAAGTGTCAGGCTCTCTGCCAGGCACTGAGGATAGAACAGTAAGGGACAGACAGCGATGATTCTCATGGAGCTCACTGTAGACTTGGGAGGACTGGATTCTGTCAGTTGCAAATGGCAGCCATGCCTGCTATAAATGACAATAGATTTTCTACTCAAGGAACAGGATTATAATTTATTTCCACTTCTGTGGTTTGCAGAACTTCTTCCATAATGTAGCCCTCAAGGGGAGCAGTATATTCACAATGTGGATGCTGTTTTAAACTATTCTTAGCCCTATCTCCACTCCACTGGTGTAAATGATTGAGAATGTATTGTATGCTGCCTGGTTACTTTGCAAGTTGAGAACTACAGTAATTGCCCAGGAATGCAGTAACATCACCAGGACTCTACCACCCTTTGTTCACACATTCATGAGTCAAGTTTTAAGCTCCTACTATATGCTGCATGTGAGACTTTAGGCATGCAGAAGGCATAATTTCACCAGAGTTTACATTCTAATGAGGGAAACAGATTATACATACATACCAAACTATAATGCTAAGTATTAATCTCCAAAAGCCAGAAATCTCACTGTCATTAGAGACTCCTCTGTCTTATGCTTCACACCTCACTGGCTGCTATGCTGTATCAACCCAGACTCCTACAATCTCTTGAAACTGTCCCTTCCCCCATTCTCTGCCGCTGACAGTTCAGACCCACACATTTTTCTTAGGTTACTGCAAAAGTCACCTACTTGGCTTGCTTCCAATATATCCTCTGTAATTCTCCTACCGAGCTCTTTGTGAAATGCAAATTCCACGTTCTTCAAATTCACAACTTTTGATCAGATTCAAAGTCCTTAACTAAGCACAAAAACCCCTTCCGGATGTGGGCCCCCATCCTTCTGCAGCCCCTCTACAGCCTTTCTCATGGGCACCGTCTGCTCTAGTTGGACACATGACTCCAGGTAAGCCAAATCTGTCGGTTCAGCTTCACACCTCCGTCGTCTTACATATGCAGGTGTCTATGTCTGGAATGTAGGTCTGCAACCTAATCCTACGCAGCCTGCAAGACTCAGAGTAAATATTATCTCCCCCACTAAATTTCTTCTCTCCACCTCCAGCCCCCGCAATCTGGGACGTCCCTCCTCCATACACAGAATCCTGTCTATCCACATGCCACAACACTTATCTCTCACTGTATTATAATTATTGGTCTGCTTTTCCTCTCCTCCATTGGATTGATATAATGACTCTGGGATTAGAGACTATGTTTTGTAAACAGAGATTAGTGTTTGGAAGCAGAGATGATGGAGGGAATGAATGAATGGATAAATATACGTGCACAAAGTCATTATTTCTGCTGGGAAACAGGTAGAAAGGAAACACTCTAATATTTTAGAAGTGACATTTAAATTTGTCCTCGAAAAATAAGTAGATATTTTTCAAATGAATGCATAAATTCCTTCTCATTTACACAAATAAATTAAGACAGTGTTAAATTAAGTACATTAGAAACTGATTCATGTAGAAGACGAGGACTAAAATGTACATAATCTAACTACCATATTTGTAATATACATGGACATATGTTTTGGCTGTCTGCTTAATTAGACCATGCTGACTATATTACAAATCATCTTGCTGTCCTAAAAAAAAAACAGTTCTAATTTTACTTTATCTCTGGCTACATAAATTCAATTAAGTTGCTGTTGTTATTAGGAAAACTGCTTTTACATTTTAATAGGGTTATTTAAGAAATGAAGTGAATTGCATGATAACCTGTATACCACAAGCATGAGCTAAACAAAGAATAACAGACAAACATAAACCAATTCAAACTTCAGGGTTTTTTTTTTTCTGTTGCTTTCCTTCAATATCTTCACTATCATGCATTAGTTTCTGCTACTGATGATAATAAAAATGAGTCAACTGCTGAGATTTTTGTACACTGTGAAATATCAAACATCAGCTTTTGAAATCAACTTTTTATAATATTAAAAACTAAGGACATCTCAAATTAGAAATCATATTATGAATTTTTTTTAAGAATGCCGCTTAATGAGATAGCTACATTACTAGCCATTCCTTTATGCACATACATTCTATAATTAGGCTCTTATGGGCTATTTCCTACAGAGAAATCCACTAATGAAAAACAAATACATTATATAGCACCAGAATGCTTTTGTTACTCTTTTTTTTAGCATTCATCTAGAATCAAACTTGGACCAGTATTTATGAAGATACAGACTTAAAACTTAAGCTAAAAATATATCTTGCCAGAGTATCACAGGACGTGTCAAAGTTTTTTATTAATTTTTCTTTCATGGCTTACTTTTGATTTCAGGACTTCAGCAACTGGAGGGAAGTAATCCTCATAGGAACCATTTTGAAGAAAAGATTTTTTAAATGAAATCGTGGACTGCAAGAGTCTTAAATTTTCTGTAAAGGAGGAGAGAAGAGTTACCTGATATGAACTGCAAGGTCATTTAGGAAGCCCATTTGAAAGACACTTTTATCCTAATTTATTACTAAGAGGTTTCTAAGATAATATCCTAGTTCTATCTAAATGTAAGACAAGTGAAAATTTGACCTTTCCTTGAACCATGGAGACTACAGAGTTCATTATTTTAAAAATATTCATAGATACTCTGCTTAGTGACAAGAATATTTCTAGCAAAAGTGTGACAAAATTTCTGCCCTTTGTGAACTGAACATGGTTTTATTTCTGACTTTGGGATATGCTACTAAGCTGAAGTGTTTAGGGGAGCATAGGTTGTATAATCACTGTGACACAAATATATCTTTCCAACCTAGATTAATTCAAGCCTGGTAAACATTGACCACACTTAAATATTTGTTGTGCTATTTGCTAGTCACCAAGTCCTAAAAAATAATTTTGGTGTAAGAAAATGAATGTGTTCCCCTATAAGATAAGAGAAAACAGATACTTTCTTTTTTAAAAAAGGAAAAGAATGATTTGATTAAATGCAGTCTTGATAGTTCTACGTAGGAAGAAAACTGAAAATAAATAATGTAAGAGTAGGAAGTAAAAACAGTCCACCACAAACATTCCTTTATTTATGTAATTTACATCTGCTTTTAGAAGTCTGTATTATCTTTTTTTCTTATTTTTTGACAACTAAGATTTAAAGGACATAGAAAATGTCATGAAGGGTTACATGAGCTCCTAGTGACTTTGAACACTTGGAAAGTTTGTCCAAGTGGCCATGATCCCTTTATCTGCTATATGGCCATTATACATTAGAGTCTGTCCAGGAGATCAGGTGATACTGAAGCAGGAACAGAAGCAATAATGTAAGCATGATCTGTTCATATATCAAACCACCAAACTGAAACTAATGCATATGGAAATTAAGATCTTTAAATTTTCATTCTTTTTGTAATCCAACAAAGTTAGAAGCCATGAGCTGCAATATGACTATTGAGAAGCATATTACCTTGTGATCCCCTGACCAAATTGTCAGTGACATTTCTTATACACGCCAAGTAAGGAGTATATGGACTATCTGCTGATATATTTAGGAGGGCATCTTCAAAGTTTTCCAATATTAGAAGCCTATACAATTAGAAAAGAATATATAAATTAGGTCACATAAAAATAAAGTAAAGCTATTTTGCTGTGATCTTTAAAGTCCCTGATTGCTTGGCACCGGTTGACGTGGGCAGAAAAACAGTGTGAAATAGCATGTCTTCCCTCGTCCAACCCAATCACACACTGGTTCTGGATTCTCTGAGCATTTACCTTTTCCCTGGGCATTATCTTTATATTTAATTTTATCCAATCATAAATGATCTTAAGATCATTTCCAGGAACAATTGAAAAAAAAATCCCTGGACTAGGATTGCCCGATTAGATACAGGCTACCTAGTTAAATTTGAATTTAGATAAATGGTGAATAATTCTTCAATGAAGTACAACCCATGAGTCGAGCATGTTTTCTTTTCTTTTTTTCTCAAAATCAGGCAACCCTGCTCTGGGACTCAGTTTGTTTTCCTATCAAATGAGAGGTAGGAAGCTGGATGATCCACTAAATCCCTTTTCCTGTAACATTCTCTAAATAAATTTAAATTCACTGAATTGTGATTTAACAAAATTAGTAGGATCTAACTGAATAATATAAGTTCTTTTTTTTTTCTTTAAACAATGAATCCAGTGTTTCCAAATTAGCCAGCTTCTGGTTTCCTTTCAAATTGGCATATGAACACATAGCCTAAGACTTTTGAGGCATATATATGTGAGTGGGTAAATATATGTGGGTTATTCATACCCTGTCACTTCAGCTGTGAGGTTGCATCTCTGGTTTATAACTTCTTCCCTTAGTGTCTACCACTGAATTTTATGTACAGCAGAGATAGAACAAATGTCAGTGGCTGATTTGGTGACCATCTACTTTGAATTAAACTGTACAATACACAAATTAACTAGTGCTATTAGATGTTGAACTTAGATTATATTCAAATGCTAATGGGAAAAAGCTTATTTTGGCATAGCTAGTAAACACACAGGAAAATGTCTGTATTAACATTAACATTAACATTAAGAAGTCTCAGAGTGTTTAGATGTAGGTTAATACAACTGGATCCTTGAAGAACTTAAAACAAAAAATCTTAAATACCATATACAGCCTTCATATTAAAAAAAAAAAAAAAAGCAAGCAACCATTCCCAAGCCCTCCTGTGTTTGCTTAGGCATTTCCTCAGCCAGAGACTCTGTTGCCAATATTGCCTTTCTTTCTTTTGTGTTTGTCTTCCTCTCTGTCATGGTGATTGCAGCATAGAGCTGTTTCCCTCCTGGTGAAGTGCTCACTTGCAAAATATTGGCCTAAACTTGTAAATGGGAGTTTCTCCTGGTGAACTTTCAAATTTAAAAATAGAAGAATGTTGGGCTAGAAGTGACTCTGAAATAATCATCTCAGCCATCCTCTTAAGTTTCACAAAGAACACTTGACTGACAAGATTTTTGAGATTGGATTTAATATACTCCAAAAACAGAGATGCCATATCTATGTACCACTGTTTCAGCATAAACATCCAATTATTCCTTTAAACCACTTAATATATGTGTCCCTTATATATAATCCTATTTGCAAAGAATGTTTGCAATAAAAGTTGAGCTTATGAATACATGCACAAATGAGTGCACACACACACACACACACACACACACACACACCAAAAATAATAACCTTAGAACAAAAATAATGAGCAGGGAGAAGAGCTATGAGGGAAAACATTTTTGAGCAGCTTTCTTTAGTCAATTCTGGACCAAAAAAAACTTTTATGCCAGTATTGCCACTCTATCTTAAAATGGGAATGGAAAGGAAGTCCACAGATAAGAAATCCCTTAACTTCACCAATCTCAACAAGAGTCATTTTCAAAGTACTGAATTCTTCCTAGTAAACTTTCAGCTAGCTGTCAGCAACTAGACAATTGCAATTGCTGTGGAATTCGCAGTTCTGAAGTGTTAACATCATCAATGCTATAGATGCTTCAAGGTTCTGATAAAGATACCTGGTTTCAGCAGTAAGTATCCAGTTGTCTTAATTCAAAGGTTTTTAAAACACTATTTTTGATGGCTAAATAGGGAAAGTGTTTAGAAGACCCAGCTATTTGGAACTTGGCGTCTTAGCTAGGGGACAGCTGCTCCAGGCTGCTTGGTCCTTCTGCGAGGAACATCTGCTCACAGCCACCTGACAGGAGAAGAAAGGTGGGAGCAGGCACAGGAGGCGTTTGTTTATGAAAGGAGTTTGCCTAGAAGTTACCCAGGGTTGCAGAACTTCTCATTACATAATAGAAAGCCCATAAGTGACTGCAGAGATTCTATTTTAGAAAAAAACAAATGGTTAAAAATCAGTCCTACTATTTGTTTTTATTTGCACAAATTTCTACTAGCACAAAAATGTATCCTTTGGGACTAAAGCCAAAATATTCCAATTGTATGATTTATCAGGCCAAAATAACCATTACATATCAGGCTACCTAGTCTCTAAATTTGCTTTGAATTATAGGAATTTACTTCCTCTACAGGTAACTGCTTGCTACCATAATTATTACAGTTCCTTCAGGGAACTGCTTTACATTAATGGTGTTTAAAAGCCAAAGCTGCTGCTGTTCATTTCTACTGCCTATTCTTGGAATGACATATTTACATGCCCCAGTAAGAGTCCAAAATTAAACTATCTGGAAACAGCTTTGCCTATCTGAACACTACTTAAGCAAACAAATTTTTGCATTACTTTGGGCAAAATAAATATTTTGATTATTAAAAGCTGAAATAAGTAGTAATGTGAAAACCTGGAAACTCATACATCTTTCCTGATGAAAGACCTTTAAAAGCTGGAAATTGGACCTCTAGCTAGATTCTCCTCATAGATACAAGGTAACCCATCCAGACAGACACAGTGGATCTGGTTGTACAAATGTAGAACTGAAAAAAGAGATCTTCATGTTGCATTATCCAAAAGTATCACTGAATAATAACAAAAATATCTCAACTATACTATACTTCAAGTATGTCCCTTTCTTTGTCAGGCAATAGTTGGTTTTTCTGTTCCACAGTCTTACACCTGATAAAAGAATTATGTTCATGAATTGCTTTTAACAAAGACTTACTGTGCAGCCAAGCTACTTGGGGATAATGACTGTCCATCTTCCTCACTCCACACATGAGTTGTGTTATTGGAGCCACCTAAAGTAAGACCATTTTTACAGGTGAGCATTTAACATGTTTGCTTAAAGCACTGATTTTTCTTGACAAAAACATCCCAGGTCAAACCAATGAAGAGAAAATGCAGAAAAATCTGCAGAATTTTTCTCCAGAGTATTTTACAAAAGATGTCTATGCTCTTTTTGTGGGAAACATTTGGGATATTTATAGGAAATAGATGCCTGCTAATCAGAATAACTCCAATGGTCAAGCACACGCATTTCTAACAAATTCCTCCTCCGTAGTCATACCATTATATTATTTTATCTTAAGACCCATATGCAGAAGCAACTCTTGAACACTGTATTTCAGATTGATTGCCACATGTTTTGTTAATCAAATGAGGCCAATTTCAGTCTTATGGGTCACTGGATTTATTTCTGCCTCGATTGTCAAGAATACAGCCTTCGGAAACATCTGCCAGCACTAATCTATATTTTTCCATCTTTCAAAAAGCAGCTACTGATTTCAATTGAATGCAACTGTGAATGCAAATTGGCCAATGTTAACAGAACGATTCTGAGTGGTCTCAAATGATATAAAGGTTCGGAATGTGGAAGGCAGTCACTAAGCTGGGTTTCATAAAAACCATACGTGAAGATCTAATTCATTGTGGTGAATTGTCCTTGTAAGTTAAATAGGTCACTGACTGAGCTTGCCACATAACGTTGTACCACTAAAGAGTAAGGGTACAACACCATTCACATGAAAAATTGAAAATGAAGATTCTTTAAGTGACTACTGCATAAATAAAAATATCATAAATTCAAAGCTTTCATTCAACCCCTTTAGGGAAACGGTATCACTTATTTCAGTTTTAAGACACTACATATTACTTATAAATAATCCAGTATATTTCACTGTGGTCAATTTTCACACTTTCAATAGGATATTTTATTAGTGGCTCTACTAGTTCTCCCATTGTCCCTTGTTACTGTGTCCTAAAGCCTCCTAAAATCTGTTCAATCATCCACACTTTTCTGGTGCTGATTGTTTAGTTTATTTAGATTAGAATGTGTGTGAAAGAAACTATCAAGGAATGAAAGACCTCTTTGTCTCTCAGCTGTGTTTGAGTAATGTTTGCACCATCCCTAGTAACTGGCAGAGTGGCTTTTGAGTTTTCCTGTTCAGCAGCGTGGAGTTTCTTTGTGCTTAAGGGGCAGCTGAGTATTACTGCTCTAATGATAGCAATGCATGTGAGCTGAAGAACCAAGGATGAAGATGCCCAGAATAAATAAATCTAATTAATAATGCTAATACCTCTTATTTACTGTCATGCACATATGGAATAACCAAGGATAGAAGCTGTTGAGATTCATGCTTTTGCAATGTACATATATATAAAAACATTTTTCCAAAATCAGATCTTGCTCACTTTGAACTCTTACATGACATTGAGCAAGTTCATTGGCATTTACTTATTATATGGCTATCGAGTTTCTCCTCCCCCTTAAGCTAATAAAATGAGTAATGAATAGAGGTTAATTTTGTACATATCACAGTGATAGACTTCACCCTGACATTAAGTAGGGATTTTTCTCTTTGGCCACTTTTCCCTCTGGACTATAGAGTATCTCAGAAGAAATGCTGTACTAAGTAGGCTTTAATGAACTGGAAAATGTTACAGAACTTTAAAAAGGGATATTTTACTTTTTTATTTGTAGGGTACTTTAAAACAGTGCCCATAGACATAGAAATCTAGTGCACAGATAACCTCTTTTCACTAGTAAGGATTGCTTTCTATTTAAAGAAGTAATTTCATGTAATTTACTACTTTGCAAAGCAACAAACTTCAATGAGTCACAAAGGTAATTTCTGCTCTCAAAACACAGTGCTTATAAAGGAAATACTAAAGTGTATTAACTGTGAGAAGGAATCCTCACTGGCCCAGAATGGAGAATTAGATCCCTTAAGATGGGAAGTTAGGAGACATCCTTCTTCCCAAGTGCTCATGAGCACCTTCATATTTTCATGGTTGCTGAGCAGTCTCCTGAAGAAACCTTAAAGTGTGTTCATATTTGATGTTGAATCAAAAACAGGCATGGGGATGGGAGAAGTTTGCAGAAATCAGAGTGCAGAGAGGAATCGGGGAATGGCCGTAGAAAAATGTAATGTGGGATGGAATCTGCACGATGAATCAAACTCTACCAACGGCTGAAAGTGGGAATGGTTCTGAGGTCCAGCAGTGGCAGGTTCTTGCATGTCCCGGTGAGACATCCCACAAATGAGTGTGTATATGTCCCAGACAATAAATGTGAGTAAAGGCGTCTTGCAAAGGGCTCAAGGGAACTAACTGGCTTTGGGGATAGACAGATCCAGGTTCTAATAATCTCAATTTGGCCACTTGCTGGATGGATAACATAAGGCAAAGCGTTCATCCTCCCTGCGCATCACTTTCATTGTCTTTAAAATGAGATAACAACTGTATAATTGAGAAACATAATGCTAAACTCATTCTGGACAGGGAAATGCTAACCAAAATAGAGTTATTTTGATGAAAAAAGAGATGTAAGATAATAAAACACAGCATTGACACAAGAAAAACTACCTCTTATTTTCATTCTTGGAAAGAGTGGCAGGTGACCTTCAAAGGTATTTGAACCATGTCATACATTAGAGAGAGCCCGAGCAGCCATGGTATGAGATGCCACCCACTCCAGCTTAAACCCGGTGTAAAGCCAAAGGAGAAACTGTTTGAATTTCATAAACACTGCTAAACTCCATGAAGACGAAGCCTGGGTTGGTGGCCTGGGTAACATGGCAGGTTCCTGTTCTTCGGTCTAGAGACCCCTTTGCTGTTGAGCTAGGTTCACTGGTGCAGTCTTAGATGACAAGTTTGAGTTCCCTGAAGGGTTTCCAGAAATATTTGGAAGGATTTTCAAATGCTGCATAATTTCTGCTCAAGCCACTAGGGACTTGGGGTTAATGACTTTTAGGAATTGACATTAATGCTCCCTCACTGGTTCTCAGATGGATGAAGTGACAAGAAATTAAAAAACAAATTTAAACGTGTCGAATTTTACAAATAACAACACATTTCCTCGTCATCTTAACCACCTGACAGTATGTTTTAATACAGGCTGAACATTAGCGCATTCATAGACATGAGACATGGCTATTGTGAAATTTAGTTAATAAGTACTGTTTACTTCTCTGGCTTCTGAGGCACCAATAAGCTTTTATCAAGTGTAAAACTTTTTAAACTTTTCCCCTTCACTATATATAATTACAAGGTGTGAGTCTGAAGATGAAAAGGAAAAGAATGGTAAAGAGAAACTTGAAGTTGTCAAGTCTTCAAGATGCAAATAAAAAAATACAGAGGAAATAATTAGTGTTTGTTAGTGCACTGTCTGGATATCTGGCCTGAACGTTTTTTAAAGAGTAAGCCCTTTTTTTCTAATGTGTATCAAGACCATCAAATGTAATGATCAATCTTGCAAGTTAGTCGTTAATTCCGTAATTGTAAATATAAAAAAATGTTCTAGCCTAACAGAAATGGATATCCAAAAGCATGTTACACCCTCCAAAGAGAATTCTTCAAAGCCTACCCAAGCCTACTCTTCATATGAAAACTAATTGTTTTAAGACCTTATAATGAACAATCAGCTTGTGACCTAATACTTTCAGGATACTTTGTAATCCAAAGGTAAAGTTTATATACTTAAAAGCTGACAAATTCAATTGAGAAAACATAATGCTAAACTCATTCTGGACAGGGAAATGCTAACCAAACATTTTACTTGGTACTTCACAGTAGGGATTTGTTTCTTGCAGCTCTAAGTCTCTGTCTCTATGCTCTGTCTCTGTGTGTCAGCAGGCAGCTATCTGTCTACTTCCATGTGTGTGGTTTATAATGCTTCTACATAGGCAAAGGTGACATTTTCTGACTCTCTAGCAAGGTGCTATAGCTTCTTCTACTGGATGGCAGCATAGTTATCTCACCTGTTTCTGCTCTGCTGTCTATCATGCATTTTCTAGATGTCTGATTAAGGGGTATATTTTTGCCAATGAAAGATTCATCCTGATTAAAAAGCCAAAATTCGAAAATGAGGGCAAAAATACTGCAATGCAGTGTAGACTTTTGTTTCCAAAAGTAGTGGAGAAATCTATTCATTGAGGAAATCTGAAATTAATTTCTAGATACTAATTTCCATACCAAGTATAAACAGTCTTTTACAAGCTAAGAGAGACCATTGCCACCTACAAAAAAATCCTGGAAAGTCACAGCTCTTTCCAGCCATTTCTTCCTTTTTTTTCTTTAATTAGCTAGAGATGCAGATTTAGCCACAGCATATGCCCACACCTAAGAATAATATCACTTACGAATGATTACTTTGGTTGCACTCCGTTTTGTATTTCTAATAGGCTTTTTGACACATAGTTTAATATGGTAAAATGGAAATGGAGTACCTTGAGCTGCAGAGTCCAGCGTGTACAGCAGATGTTTAACAGATTTATGGAGAGTTCTGAAACCTTCATTAGTTCTGACACGTGGATAAACCTTCTGCACAACCAGCAGCGCACTAACGAGTTAAGAAACAATTAAACCAGATTGCATTTCAAGGTTTGCAGACAGAAACAAAAGGTTATTCAAGGAGAAAATGGCTACGGTATAGAAAATTATTCTTATAACATAGAAGACAAGATGCTGCTTTTGTTATTTAATTTGTTTGTTTGTTCAGGCACAAAATCCCCCCAAAAATGGTCTTGAAGCAGACAGAGCACATCACATTTCCGGGATTCTTTAAGCCTTGGGACTCAATGGCCTTAGCTAAATGAGTAAAGTTCATTTTAGTTGTTTCTGTTAAGACTTAAGAATCAGTGGTGAGGAGTAGCAAATTGCAATGAAAGGATCTCTCTTTTGGATAACTAAAGGGAAAAACTAAATATTGGAAACTATTTTCATTAAAAGCAAGTCCAAATAAAGGAATCAGTTTCAGGAGTTATTATTACATAAGTATTTGATAAATATTTATCTTTTACTAATGTTTTTTAAAAAGAAATGGAGCTTGCCCTAATTAAGGGCTGTATTCTGTCCTCTAAGTGGTCCACAGGCACTGCTCCAGGGGTGGATCAGAATTAATATCTAGACTGACGGGCACTGTCGTCCCAGCATTCTTATGTCAATGAGATGGGCAGTCTGCACTGGGGATGGACAACTGGTAAATTCACTTATGCTTGAGTTCATTCTGTATTCCAAAAAGCAATTAGTTATTTTAATAATGACTCTTCTTTCTTTTTATTGTCATTAATACATTAAAAAAATTAAATGTTGTTTTTTTTCTTGTTTTTTTTATTTTTTTAATTTTTTTTTTTTTTTTTTATTTATGTTTTTGTTTTTTTTTTATTTTTTTTATTTTTTATTTTTATTAAAGGCTTTGTTAACAATTTGTTAACATTGTGAAGTTAAACAGAGTATAAATTAGCTAATCATTTCTCCTATGTATCTTAGTCAACTAAAGGCTCACTCTGGTATGCATACAATATATGCATACACTTTCATGGTATTCTACAATATTTTTGGAATTTTAATATTCAGAGTAAGGCCATTTTAATTTTAGCTCCCTAGCTACAGCTCTATATTAACAGAGCTAAATTTTGAGTGTCCTCTATTTTCTAGTATAATACTAGGGTGTACAGACAGATATGTGTGTATGCAAATCTAAGCATACACTAATATATGTATAAATGTATTATATACATGCACATTATTTTATTTACTTCTGTAATATTTTATGAAGTCAGTTTTATTTGCCCTACTTTGCTGATGGGAAAACTAAAGTTCCGACAGTTAAATAACTTCAACAAGGCTTTCCAGTTAGTAATAAGCAGAGTAATAAATAAATTGTATATCTGGTTCTGTCTGATTTCAGTTTACGTTTTTTCTATTCTAGATCTTGCCTGTGGCACAGCAACTTTGACCCAGAATAGCAGGTGGAGGAGAACAGAACATTTCTGCACAGATCCCATGGGCATTGTTAACTTGTTACTCCAGTTGTGTGTTTGGCAAATAATTCTTTTCACCTCTGCTCTGAGTATGGTACATAACAGTTGATAACTCAGGAATTTTTATATTCACCCCCAAGAATCTCCTGACTCTCAGACTTTGGGTTGCTTCTGAACCTTGGTGACTGTGATCAGTTAAATGGTCTCAGGTTGTAGATCTCTGCCAACCTTCTTCCAAGTTCGCCCTCTACCTGACTCACCTAATCTGTTGTCCCAAATTAACCCTTCAGAGACTGAACACTTGGAAATCTCATTAAAACTGTCAGCATGGTTATTAATGTCATTAACAAAATGTCAGTTGACTGAATTCATCTTTTTCTAATAAAACATAACTTAAAATAATGATACCTGGGTCTCTCTGAAATCCTTTGAAACACTGATCAAAATATTTTTATTTTACTTCATAGATTTTCTTTCCTACTCTTCATCACATAAAATTGGTAGTAATCTAAAACAAGTTGCCTTGTAAGTAAAGATAATTTTTTAAAATAGCTTTTGTGATGCATATCTCAGCACAGCTTCTTCCTCATGAATGGTGAAAATGATGTATATTTTTTCAGATGCACATCTTGTTTTTTTGAGATGGCTCATTTTTGCTACTTTCTGTCATAACCTTAACACTATATAACTGTTTCTGGTGATTGGGTTATATAACAACTTACACTTTGAAACAAAAAAGTTGCTGGAGGAAATGATGAAAGTTATTACGGGTTCATTTGTCCCTATTACTTGATCAGCAAAGGGTAAGATAAGCCAATGAGACCATAATTTGGTGAAAAAATAGTCATTTGTGAGGCAATTATAGCTTTCAAAGACACTCTCAGTTTAATAATAGTAAAGAAGATTTAACTTTAAAAGACAAATGGTGTATAAAGGGCTCTTCAGTAGAAATAAAATGTTCTGGGATACCCACTGACAAACAGTTGTGAAGACTGGTGTTCTTTCTCCCTTTCTCACATATACTTTGATAGCACTGATGACCATTGTGTGTGTTTCTTTTTTTGCTTATCTTCACTGATAAGCCCTCACTGTCAGTGCTAAAATCTGCAATAAGTTGCTGAAGGATAATTTGTTCAGTATTTAAATGACCCACCTACCAGTGATCCTCACAGGAATCACTGGTAAAAAGACTACTTTGTAAACTGTATCATTCCACTTAATTTCTTACATTTTCGTACCTGTTTGCATTTTGAAGAACATCAAATAGATTACTTAGTGTTGTGTCATTCTGGAACATATTTGGAAGACTAGAGAGAAGCTGCCACACAGCTTTCTGTTCTTGCACTTGTGAGAGGAAAGAGAACACTTTGACCACCTCCTGAAACACTGTCTTCTGGGTGTTGGGATCATGCGACATCTTGAGAAATAAAACCACAAACAGGGCAAAATGAGGCTTTAACATTTGTAATCACAGGGTTTACTGTCTTTGAAAGCATTACAAATCTAGCTTTCACTTTCAGATTTGCCTTCAGTTTGAAGTCATCTTTATTAGGAAAACCTATAAATGTTTCTAATGTTCTTTAACATAATTGGATTATTTCCTATACATCCAGAAATGGGCATATTTAAAATTTGGTTAACCGAATTATACAAAATATACTAAATTGTACTTTTGGAAATTAAAATCAATTTCTTAAAATCAGCTTCTGAGTAATATTTTTGTTTTTCCCTATGACCTGGTTTAGGAGCTGCAGATATCTGATGCATATATAAATGTATATATAATTCATATATATGAAAATATTTTCTATGACAATTACACATACTTAATGGAATAAAATATTTCAAAAGTTCTGTTGTAAACCAGGAACTTTGGTAATAAGTGATTTAAATAGTGAATGAACCTATGTGATAATCACATCTTATACTATAAGCAACAGATTTGCAAAAGCCATGACCTTTGCCCTTGCTCTAGATCAAGGACTCAGCTAGTATTCTAAGAAATAAAATATTTTCTTCATTGTATTCCCATCCAAAGCATTTTTATAATAAGTTCACACATGCTAGTTAAGTCAGGCTTTTCTTCTGTCATACTTCAAGTTCTTTGCATCCTGAGAATTATTTTGGACAATGTATTCTTAACTGCACATTCTACTATATATGACTGCTGAGTTTGTTAAATGAAAGCAAAAGCTCTAATTTGGATTGGGGTTCTTATCACAGTATCTTTAATCTGGATTTAGAAAACTCAGGTTACTGAAGATAATTTAAGCATTTTGTACTTAATAAAAAATACAATAAAATTCAGAGAATCAAGGGGAAAATATTAGAAAGGACATGCTTCATTTATTTGTTTACAAAATTCAAAAGAATTCTGAATAATCTTTCACTGTATAGTCTTTCATTAAATGTAGATTATAGGCATCTTATTTTCACATCATAATTTAAGACTTGTATATAAAATGGTCATTAGCACATCACAGTATGAAGTTCTCAGTTCTAATGTATAATATTTTGGAGAAGGGGATATATTGTTTTATCAAAAATAAGCTTATCAAGTTAGGTTGGATGTTAGTGAGTAAAATTAAAAACACTACCCATTATCCTAACTTCTGAGACTTATAGTGCTCCAATAGTTTATTACACTTACGCTACATTAAGTAATCTCACTTAAATATCTCATAGAAAGCAATCTTCATTCACCATAAAGTGAAGCCATATTTTATCTACAAAGATATGTCTACATCAACCATAATGCAATATTTTTGGTTCAACATTGAAATCATTTCAAGCCAGCACACTTAAATGGAAAGAACACATTACTGGGCATTAGATATTGTGTGTGAATCTGTGGGATGCCTCTATGCCAAAGCTGAGCAAATACTCCAGCTAGCATTTCCCATCCATGTGGGCTATGGAGTTGCTTTTAGACTCATGCTGAACCACTTTGCAGATACAAGAATGGAGACAATATAGGTCTTTCTATTTTTTATAAGAGCTTGATCATATTAAAATATTCACACTCACCTGAGAGAATTGGTTTGTTAATTCTTGGAGAGAAGACTCTAAAAGGGTCATGTTGGACAGGCAAAATTTGTTAAAAACATTTTTCCCCAGAGTGGTCCAGGAGAAGGCATAATCAGCAATATATTTGGGATAGCTCTCACACAGTTCTCTTCGTATATCTTCTGACGTTCCATTTTGCTTTAACCGCTAAAGTTGTGTATTAAAGAGTGGGATAGAGAGATAAATATTAAAATATCCTAGTCTTCAAGGAAACTGACCTGTCTCCACAACAGTCATTTTAAGGTCCTGTATTTCACCAACTATTAAGATAACACTAAAATACATAAGGTTGCTCCATGAAAAGTTATCAGGAGAATGTGGGAATGTTGTAATTGTTGTCATTGTTATGATTTAAATGACTTATATATGATTTAATTGAACTCATTTCCTGTTTCTGACCAGAGAACCTAAATGCACCAGATTTTTTCTGATTAAAATCTATAGGCTTAAAAATCTTAGTTTCTCCTGGGCATTTAGCAACAGAATTGGGTGCCCTAACTCTTTGTGACACTTTCTGGGAAACTGGCCTCGGTCTTTAGAGACTTACAAAGAGAAGGAGTTTGGTTGATTTTTAGAGAAGTGGACAGACATGGATTATGTTTCATTCATAGAAATTACTTCATTTAAGAATTAAACATAAGAAGAAAGAGTGAAAACACACTTATAAAAATACATAAAAGTATGTAATTACCAAAAGCAATTAATTGGAAAGCATTTTTGTAATGGAATCATTGTAAGTCCCCCATATAGTTCACAGTACAGACCAGTCACAGATGCACCATATATTTTCACTATAATATTGATTCCATTTACCATTACTAAGTTGTTTAAGTGTTCACAGCGTCAAATTATATTTAGTTGTAACATTTAATGGGTCCATCCTAATAATTAATTTTATAGTCTCATGAGGTGAAGGCCAGCTAACCTCATCCTCCCCTTAAGTTTACATCACAAAATTACACTATGCCTCCCAGTGAATCCATTTCTAAAGTAATGGAGCAGAATCCACTTATTCTAGGAAATACTCTTCAGAGCTGGGTCTTCTAGTCATTTATATCTCTTTCTTTACATTATACATAAACTCACCCCAACATGGGTTTCTCTACTCATTCTTGTAGGGGTTGCAGAAAGCAGTATAAATAGAAAGGAAGAGAAATCAGAGACTCCTGACACAGGCTTCAATTTGTCATCCTAATTTTTATATCCCTTCCCAGCTCTAATTTCTCTAAAATTCTGTATCCAGACATAGAAATTTCATTTTTTAGTTATTCCCACTGGGTATGTGACTCTGTGCAGCCTCACAAAATTCTGAAATTTCATTCTATGTGGGAAAGAGAACTTGGGAGTTTCAATATAATGATGCAGTATTTTTGAGAATAGCATTGATACTCTAGATATTAAAGAATGTAACTGATCTGATGCAAGACTTTTTAGGAACCAACATGGAAGAAATAGAATGGAACAAAATAACTTTCTCTAGTTTACACACTGGCCTGATTTTGGGAGGCCTTAAATTGGAATTAACTGGGTATACTGGGGGCTTCCCATGCTAGATAGGGTGGTTTAGGAACTGCAAATATTAATTGTTATTAAAACCAGACTTTCACCGTCTAGACTGGACTGAATGGGAAAGTCCTGTATCTCAGCCAGCACTGACAAAATTGTCTTGATGGGTATGGTGCTTTTCCCTGGCATCTCTGTATTATCTTTTGGCACATTTACCAGTTTTTAGAGATGCCTCAGTTATATAGGATGTAAATTCAAGGGTAACTAACAGATACATATTAAGCAGAAGTGGTTATGGTTGCTGGAATATAAATAAAAGTTGGAGATGTGTCTCCATGATTCAGATGGAAGAAATGTCTACTGCATAAAACATGGATATATTATTTAAGATGCTTGAGTGTATGAGAGAGAGAGGGAGAAGTTCTCTCTATTGCAAAATACTGAAAATGATCTTTTCTTAATTTCTAAAGAACACATAAACCAGGGCTCAAATGCCTAGAGGGGCCAGCCAAGTATTGTCAGTGTATGAATCTGTTTGGATGAAAGACAGTAAGGAAAAGTAAGAACTGTAGTTAACACAAGAGTACCTGTTCTGCCTAAAGGCATTCAAATGCAATTTCTTAAAATCCCAGTATACACACACACACACACACACACACACAATCACACACTCATTTAGCCAGTTTATGCCTCTGATAGAAATTATGTTTATTATCTTGCAAACTGGAATCTTAAAGTGGATGACTAGTAAACAGGGAAATCCATAGGTAAGCTCTCTAAGTATGCTATGTAAAAAGGATTTACAACTGTGGGAGGTATTTTCCACAGCTATAATTTTTCCAAAGGTATTGTCAGTATGGATGAGGCAGCAAATGTGATGAGCGTTATAGCTTCATTTACTTTTATATAGCTTTTTTAAATTCCCTGTTTCAGAAAATTAAAGATTGCATATAATGCCACCCTATCTCTTACTAAAGGCAAATCTTATGTCAATTAAGGGACTTAACAGGGAAGTAAATAAATATCCAAGACCTTAATGAATTCAGAATTTCTCAGAATTAAGCTTTCTTTCAAAGAGTTCCTAAGAAAATAATTTCCCTGAGACATTACTCCAAATGGGAAAGGTACCCAAACCTCTTCCTGTTCGGGAGATCCCTCTATCAACCTAAGCAGCATTTGTTCAACAGTTCTTTAGTATCAGTCCATTACAGAATTGAGTGAAATTACCTTTTCCAAGCTAAGAATCCGGGCAAGAACTTGACTACTATTGAAAGTATCTATTCCAGTACCTTCTAAATTAGAACTTGGCTTGGGAAATACTGTGGCTGCAATAGAGGAAAGAACAGATTAGCATTCCAAAGATAAATACACACATGGGCAGGTCCACACAAGAATCCATAAATTCCACTTGTGCTCTCAAATACCCCACAGCAAGAAGGTTGCTCAAATATGCATCTTTCACAAAAGTTTCACACTGGCAAAAGGGCAAATTCCATCCGTTTTTCTTTTCATATAAAATTGTGATGGTTTTGGTCTGTTCTTGGGTTTTTTCCAATCGTTTTAAATGTCATTTGCTTTCATTCCAGTTTATGTCATTAAATTTCATCACCAATATTATTGCCTAATAAACTGAATCATTTCCGTGCAGGCCTAGAGGATTCGAGGTGCCTCCATGAGCTCCACAGATCGATCACATCCAACATCTGTTCAAAGGACCTGCCAACACACATCTGGTGATAACGGCTTTCTTTTTAATTATTCAACTGGGAGGTAGAAATCTGCTTAGGATCATAAATTCTGTCCTCCCCGAAGTGGTTTCTGAATGATATTTCAGATCAAATAAATGGGATGAAGCAATTAGTCTGGACTATGGTATACTCTAATTAAGTAATTCTCAAAGTGGTCTCATCTAGTAATATTTATAATGTGGCAGAATGTTCTGGGTTAGGAGCATTAGCTAGAAGAGTATGTCCATCTATAGCATGGATACTCATTAAGCCAGTATGATAATTTTGATAAAGTTCAGACAGAAATACTCTGTTATCCTTACAGCAAAGAATCTTAATATTCAAAAACAGAGTGACCTATTATCAGTAGGGTCTAAGCTTTATTATAAATGCCTACAGGGTTGAAGAATCTTCCAACTGATTCCTCCAGGCCAAGGCAATACATCTGTGAGATGACTGGCCAGGGCGAGAAACATAACTGGTGTCTGCAGAGCAAAGCAAAGCTTACTAGACCGCAACACTATGATCTTATTTCCACTGTGCTTTAACCTACTCAGCCAAACACCCACAGATCATTCATGACAGAACATTAACTCCTGAAAACCACTCACCACCATATTCCCACTACATTAACACAGGATTTTCTTCATTTGGTCCATCAACTTGTACTGGAATGTTATATTTAATGTCACAGAATCTTAAACACTCCGTGTCATTTTTAAAGGTACTTTTTATTTTCCAGAGCATCAATCATCTTCCAACAAATGGGAATCTTTGTTTGGTTCACTAACATATCCCTAGGATTTAGACCAGTGCCTAAAGGACAGCAAGCACCCCATAAATATTGACTGAATGAATGTAAAACAGTCCTGCTGCTTTGATTGTTTATTCTCATTCTGAGGCTTCTAATGGGCATTTCTCAAGACCACAGCATCGCCATCGCTTGGCTAAGGCTCAGGAAGCTCAGCCTCAGGGTCTTCTGTACACTGAAGTTGCAGGGCCACCAGCCTAGCAGTGAATGAAGGAAGCACACATCACACTGAGTGACTGTGACATTGGGGGTTGAGCGGGAGGAGGAAGAGCCTAGCCGGAAGAGTCCCTGCACGGCAGCTCTTGCAGTTGGATGGATGACTGTAGACAGGGCACTTAACCCTATTGGGCTTCAGATTCCTTATCTGTAAAATGGAGGATCTCTGAGAGTCCATCCAACCATTTTTATAACTGGGCTTTCTCCCCACCCTAGCACGATCAATTGCAGATAAGGAAAGAGTCCCCAGTCGATTCTGAGGAAGTGTGCAATGCTCCATCTCGTATTAGTACATAGGCTTTTGATCCCAGAGAGATTTCAGCAAGAACTTAATTTCCAATTATTCTTGAAAACTTTGCATAATTGTACTATCACACTCAGGCATTAAGGAAGATTTAGATCTCTTCGGGATATTCTAGACATTCCATCTTTGTTTGAAAAGTTAGAAGAGTAACGCTTTGAAAGATTAGACCTCACCGGGTGTTCCAAGGGGCCTGGTCTAAACTTGACAGAAGAGAACGGCTTACCCGGTGATACGTGCCTTCTTTCTGGAACTTGGGTGCTCTGTGGTGATAAATTGCTGTCCTTCTCCAGGTTGGATGACTTTCTCAGAGTTTCACTATAGAAGAAAAAGCAAGAACTCTATAACTTCACCCGCATTCATTTCGGTTAGTTACAGCAAGGTATTATGTAGCAGGTTCTAGGGCTCCAAGGACTCTCAGATTTTTAATATACCTTCTAGGATTTTAACAGAAGACCTCACCTAACCATACACCAATGAACATATAAAGTCTCCTACAAGGTAAATTTTTCTTTGGAGAAAATGCCCTAGATGAGGTTTAAAATAGTTACTTTTACTTTAATCTTATAGAAAGGAAATGATTTTTAAAAGACATTGGAGCTAAATATTGAAAGTATTTATGATTTCTTTTTCTTTTAAAAAGATGATGAATCTCAAATAGAAGAGAGTTCAAAGGTGCTTCAAGGACTGAAACAAAGGTCAGCTTATTCATCAACCTTGAAAGAAAAACAAGTTTTCTATGTTAAATTATTGATGACATTTTGAGGACTGTCAAAGACAAATACTTGTAAGTCAGACTCAGGAAGAAAGAAAAGAGCACAATTTATTGACTATCTAGTCTGTGCCAGGCCCTGTGGTGGATGTCACTACAGGTGGTACCAGGTGTTGAAGGAATATCGATATAAAGCATATTTTTAATTGTCCCGAATGTATCAAATGTGGCAAGAACAGTGAAGTTGTGTCAGGAATCTCTGTGCAATGTGATCACACTAGCTTTTCCAAGAAAACCTTGGAACTTCCCACAATTTAGTAACCCTCTGTTTAACAACTCATTTCCTTTTTTAGCTAATTATTAGGAAAATGCAGATAATCATGTTTTCTTGAAAACTTGATTATTACCAAAAGTAAGTGCTTAATATAAATGCATATGTTTCAAGAGTGAAATCAGTCCAAGTGCTGATGTGAATATTTTTCAGAATTCCTGAAAGTTGATGAATTTTGTGTAGTTGTTTTTTTAAAAAGCTTACTTAAGGTATGTAAGGATGGATAATAAAAAGATAGTAATAGAAAAACAAAAAGTTCTCCTTATTACTGTGATTCAATTTGACTTCCTTTTTAGAAACAAGATTTGCATCCTGTTCCAGGGTACTTGGTGATTTATAGTTGGAAAAACAAAATCTGTGTCTTTTTTCTGGTATGTCCTTTTAATAAGAATGATAAGAAGAGGTGATATTTGTTTTCATTCTCTAGTGTTTTTCTAATATTCTCTTTAAAATGTACTGGTTGCTACAAAAGTCCTGCATTTTTAATGTGTATTTGAATTATTCATGACCATGACTGTATTCCCCTAAACCTTTTTACATTCCTTATGCTGACTCTTTGGATGGGAAAACTGTTCAGATAAAAATAAAAACTGACCTGAACCTTCTCCCTTCTCTCAAATGGAAGTTTTCAAAAGTTTGGAAAAGTTCAGTTCACTTTTCTTTTTCTTGACATTTTTTTAGTTCAACATGAACTACTACAAGGACGACTACTGAATATCAACACTTTTTGAAAATAAAGGGGGAAACTACCTTCATAAAAATTTAAAGGAATAGCGACAGCAACAAAAACTAAAAGGAGAATGAAAATGATCAAACAAGCACAGAAAGAACAGGAGAAAACAGACTGCATAACAAGTGGGAGTGATGGGGAAAGAACGAGGGCAGAGGTGAGGAGAGCGCGGGCTTGGAGAAGCCAACGCCGCAGCTACTCTACACCTTGCCCATCTCCCCACGTTCAGATAAGAGCCCTGACACTACTCCTTCAAATATTCTTAAAACACCAAAGATAGGCAAACTCATCCCCTTTCCAGCAGGCTGCTGCTCAGCAAATTCTGCTGCTTCCAGACAAGGAACCTCGGAGGCCTCTTTTCTAACAGATGTGTCCTTTGTCAAGAAGTACCCACGGTGACGTGGTAGCCCATTCAGTCTGTGCTACAGGACTTGGGAGGTGATCCATCTCCTTTGCTGTGGCTTTGGCAGGCCTTTTTGTCTGGGTGAGGGCTCAGGATATCACATGTGCTGTGATTTACATCTGCTTGTGAATGCTCCCATTTTACCCTGCATTTACAACACGTGGTGTGAAGTCATGTGTCCACTGCCATTGTGACAAAACTATTGCTTGTGAATGCTCCCATTTTACCCTGCATTTACAACACGTGGTGTGAAGTCATGTGTCCACTGCCATTGTGACAAAACTATTGTCTTTAAATTCTTAAAATGGAAACCGCAAAATAAATGTGCAGCCGAGAGTAACTGTGCGTGAAGGATGAATGAAGGCTGTAAGCTGAAATATAGCTTATTTCCTAAGATAATTCTTTTAACTCCCTATTAAATGACTAAAGAAGGGCAGGAAGGTAGCCAGTCTTACTGATTTAGTGGTAATCTCTGAACTTCCTAATCAGTATGACCAGGCTTATACACAGAGCACTATATGCTTTTTTGAATGACAGGAAAGAAACAGGACCCTGTTTGTTATTTCATACAATTTACGCACTTTGTATGTATTTTATACCAACTTTAAGTGTGCAGTTGACCTTTGAACAACACAGGTTTGAACCTTGCAGGTCCACTTAAACATAGATTTTTTCAATGAAAGAGTACTGTACTGTAGATATATTTTCTCTTATGATTTTATTAATAAAATGTTCTTTTCTCTAGCTTACTTTATTGTAAGAATATGGTATATAATACAAATAACATAGAAAATGTGCATCAATTGCTTATGCTATCAGTAAGGCACTGGTCAATGGTAGGCTATTCATAGTGAAGCTTTGGGGGAGTCAAAAGTATATGAAGGGCCTTTAACCACTTTGTTGTTCAAGGTTCAACTGTTTTATGTCTGTCTGCTTTCCTATTCCTGCCACTTCTCCACTTAAGACGATGACATCTTTGGAAGTAGGCACCATATCTAATTCATCTTTTTATTCCAAACACCTAGCATACTACTGGACCGTAAGGTTGGACAGCTGATTAAATGAACAGAGACAGCCTTGCAGGAGAATGGCAAAAAGAGCTTTGGGTTTAGCAGGCATCTTTGGAATCCTGCTCTAACTCTTCTCTTAAAAGATCTCAGTCATTACCTTCCACATCTGCAAATTAGGAATGACACACCTACTCACAAGGTAGGGGTATGCTTACCAGTACCTGTCTGGGCCTGTTATCAGAGACACCCACCAATAGTAACTGTAAAAATACCCACAAAGGAGGGTGGTACAAAGACATAGTCTTCGCATCATTATGGAACTGAAGTCTCACACTTACACATCCAGGCTCCAGACAGAATCCCTTTAGAATACTAGAAACTTCAAGATCTCTGAACACCAAGGGATTCACCTCCCATTATTCACAGATCGGGAACTTTGCAAGCACTGCACCCAAGGTTTTGTAATCTCTTCTCCATGTTCCTATTTAATTTTTTATTTGTTTACTTATAATAGGAATTTTCCACTTGCAGTAATGATCAATTTCTCCTTCTTAGACTGTAAAATCTTGAGAAAAGTCTACAGTGTAGTGCACTGGCAGATGGTAGAATGTTTAGTACTTGGCAAGCATTGACTACTAGATGATAAAGACTATCACTTGAAAGAACTGATAGCTAAGGAAGCATCTCTCTCTCTTTTTTTTTTTTTAAATAGCCTTGCCTACCCTCCATTGCTGCATATCTGGTTCTGCAAAGTCCTTAGAAGGGAAATACCCAGGGACAGACAGCACTACAGACACAAACGTATAATCAGACACTGCATCTATCATGTTCATTCATTAACTCACCAACATTTATTAAATTCCCACTACATATAACATAATGGTATCCTCAAATAAGGAACCAGGGGTTATAGTTCGTTAATGGCAATAGCGAAGTAAGGATAGGCACAAGGGACATGGGAGCACAGGGTGGGGCTGCTGAGCTGGTTATCATCTGTGCTTCCCCCAGAGCCAGATCCTGGAATCACAACCCTGACTCAAACCTCTTGCTACTTTAACATTTTTTTCTTCATCCTTTCACTAGACCAGTGGTTCTCAACTGGGGGACTTTTGCCTCCTCCACCCCACCGCCAATCCCAGAGAACACCTGGCACTGAGTGGAGATGTATCTTTTTGTTGTTACAGCTGGAGGGTGGAGTGTGCTACTGTCATCCAGTGGGTACAGGCCTGGTGCTAAGAATCCTACGGTGTACAATGTACAGCTCAACAAAGAATTATCCGGCTCCAAGTAGCAATAGTGCTGACAGTGAGAAAGACCTCACTAGGTGTTACAGATAGGTGATTTCTTCCATGATGACTCATTTCATTCTCATTCCCTAGGAGCAGCTCAGGACACTTAAAACTCCTCCCCTGTAGTGTTCGTAGGAACTCCAAAAGCCCAGAGGAAGTCTCACAGACTCTCCTACTGGATATCTTTGGGACAGATACAATAAGCCAAACCTAGATGCATCTTGAATCCCACACATAGGCTCACCTGAGCCTACAAAAATTCAACTGGGTTAGGCAAGAAAGCTTGAATCAAATTTCCAAGTGGCTGATGACATCATTTAACTACTTTTTATAGGGTCCAGCCACATGCACAGTACAATGGATATGGAGAGGCGTCTCTCATTTAGGATGCTGGAGGGGTAGATTCTGCCTGGGTGACATTTATAGGGTGCTTTTTTAGAATGGAATTCAATAAAGGAAACACCTTGGATTCAAAATGTTAAGTTTAAGACACTGGGAGTGAAACTAGGCCTAGAGTAGATTTAACTTCTCAGACATGTCTACCAACAGTTACATTTGTGAAATGTCATATTTATAGGTATCATCATAATGGTTGAATTTATGCACTTACATTGGATGTCTTTGTATTTCCTGTGAATGGAAAGACTACCTGTGTAGGTGGTATCCATGTGCACTGGTGTCAAATGCTGTCTATAAAAGGAACTGCTTCCAGAAAAGACACATATGGCAAATCCTAGAAAGAAAATTCTGACATTCTTCTTCTTCTTCTTCTTTTTTTTTTTTGCCTCTAAGCGTTGTTAAATTTTTTATAATTCTTCCCTTTTACCCCAGAATAATTAAAGGGGTATGTAGTGACACCTGGAAAGAAGATTTAAGATGTGCTCTAGGCTTAGTTCTGATCCCAGCCTCAGATAACATTCATTTTTTACTTTTAACTACAAATAAGAACACTGTAGTGGTATTGAGGCCCCTCAGTGATTTGATGCTGTTGTCCTTCCTGGCCACCTCCAAGCAGAATTCATTCATAGGAAATTTTTTTTTTCATCATTTTATTTCATTCTGATGGTCATTCTTTCGGGGTCATCCATGCCTCAGATATAACCCCGTCTATCCATGTTCCAAACATACCTCTCTGCTAGGTGGCCCAGTTACCAATCCAGCAATTCAGATCAGGTAAGGTATTAAAATTTAGAAATACCTTAATATGTTGCTCTGTCCTAGGATTTCCTTTTATATTCTTAGGAGGAACTTTGAAGATAATATATCTGAACCAATACATTAAGGAAAGTTTTTAAAGGCACTCTGATGGACAGATGAGGAAATGTCTTACCGGGTAGATATGTATCAGAAACATGTACAATATGGGGGAAGAGATAGCATCACAGTATCTTTTGATGACACTATTATGTTCTACCTAGTCTGAAACTGGCTGATTTTTTTGTTAACACTATAGGGGAATTTGTAGTGTTTGCATCATAGTCTGGTAAAGCCATCTGCCTATTCCTCTAAGCTCACTATGCAAGGGCCTCTACCCATTTCTCTCCCTCACTGAGTTCTGGGATCCTTTCTCTATGGCCCATCTCAGCTAGCCACCACCCTGTCTTGAATGATTGCACCCTTAAAGGCCTCTGGAAGAACTCTCTGGACATCTCCCCACCCAATCCTCTCTCCACTCCAATAATATATCCAACAGTAACAGCTCTAGTCCTCTGGCAGAAACAATGTCTTAAGGTATGTGTGAAACTATTTACCATTTGTTGTCTCATGTTCTGGGCACAGCAAGACCTAAAGAAATGTTCATCACTTTTACCATGTTATATGGGAATTTACCTGCTCCCTTGTCCCTCTGTCTCTCTCCCTCCAGACTGTAAGTCTGTACAGGGCATGGGATGTGTCTTGCTCATCTCTGTATCTACAGCGACTCTCCCAGAGTCTCCAGCACGTGAAACACATTGGATACGTTCTTGTTCAATGAATTAACAATTTTGCCTGCATGGCAGTTAAAACATCCCTCTGCTTTGTTTTTTGATAGATGAAGTTTTAACTTTTATTTTCATGTGAATACGCACTAAAATGATTACAACATGGTTATAAATTACTCTGAAATCAACACAATATGAGACCCATACATTTCACCTCATCTTAATAGTCAGTGGGGATCCACACCTACTCTCCCTTCACTTACCTTACACTCCCAGTATGTTAGGTATTGAAGAAAAACATTTGTTAATACTAAACAAAAGCCTCGGCACTTCAAAATTAATCCTGAATAAATCTGATTAGCTGTGTCTCAAGTTCTGCAGGAGCCAATCAATAGGAGCAGAGGTATGAATTTGGAAACCACAGGTCATAGATGAGTGTCACCATGACAGAGAAAGGGAGCAAATCCCTAGAGCCAATTCCCTCACAGGACCTGCAGGAACACTGAATTACTCTTCCAAATAATGACCCTGTGAGCTCTGGAGGGTGATCTTCACCACTCACCGGCTGCGTGAGCAATGGTACCGCCAGGGGCTCCCACTGTGCTGATACATTCTTGGAGGCCGTGCAGGGAGGAAGGGCCACAAGGGCAAGTTCAGTGATGGTGGGCCATCCGTTACGCAAATGAGCAAGAAAGCCAGAAATGTAATTGTTTCTTTTCTCAGACAGCCATTTAGAGTTGATGCTGAGTATAGCAGTGTATTTTGTTTTTTTGTTTATAGCACCTCATCTTGAAGCTAATGCCTAGAGAAGTATGAATTTAATAACAGAAGGCTGGTGCCAATGCAAAAACACATCAAAAACCTTGGTGACTAGCTAGCAGGTAGTGACTGCAGTGTGATCATGTCTTTTGGAAGAGCATTTTATTAGAATAAACATGGTGGGTCTCTTTCGATGAGGCCAAAAATGGCATTTTTTTACTCTCACTTACAAACCAGAAAAGGATAACTGTTACGTTTCTTGATGATGCCACTACACTGGCGAACTTCCTTCACTAAAGGGAAGCAATTTAATGGAATGCCTTATCCAGTAACCAAGCCCAAGTTTCACTGCACAGCTATATAAAACATAAAAGTTAATAGCGTGGTGGGAAATACCATTAATGCAATTTTATTCTTGTACATCATTTTCTAAATTAAGCCCCAATTACTTGGTAGTTTAGAGAAAATAATGAATATACAGCAATGTACAGCTTGAGCTAGACCAACTACCGAGAGGTTAGATGGAATGAAAAACAGGAGACATGGTCAGCTGTCTTAGAGAACAATCAACAGATGACAAAATAAACTTGGATTTTAATCCTAGTTCCAAAACCAACCCCATGATTCATCTCAAGACAACTCCATGAGATTTCTTCTCTATTATATTACATAGAAAATATTCTTTGGGGAAGATATATTTACACACTTCTTATATCCGTTAACTATTTCCCTCAGGGATCCTCAGTTCTTCATGAGAAAACAAAGTATAGAGTAGAGAGCCCTCGGGGCAGCTGTAATCCAATTTGTAAATAATGGACATTAATTTTTTCCACATATTCTCTAATGCTTGGTTCATGAAATCTCTGGCTCATAAACAACCTCTTCGTGGAGACTCATCTGATTGCTCCACCTGAGTGCTCTCTTTCTACTTTAAGAATGGAAGGTGTCTTCCTTCAGCACCCTTCTGGCACCCTTCATCGCACCGTCAACTATCATCATGATCGGTTTAATATTTTCCCTCCTGTGCTAGAACACAGGCATAGATCACGCCTAATTCACCAGTCACACAGGGACACCCAGCCCGTCTGTGAGCTAGCTGCGCGACCAAGAGTGCCGCACTTCCCCTTCCTTCTCCACTGATGACACAGCAGGGCATAGGCTCTAATTAGCTTTGGGTCTCCTGGCAGAAATATACAACTAGTGTTAGTTGAAGTAATGCTTGTATATGCCTAGAACATGCTAGTTTCATAGACAGTATGTCAGTCATTTCTTTGCTTAAAACTTTCCAATGATTTCTCATTATACTAAAAATAAAACCCAAGTCCCTTCCCTTCTCCTACCCTTGATCCTGCATGCTCTGCCTCCTGTGTTCCTTTTGAACATGCCGCCTGCCCTTTGCATCATCCCTTACTATGTTCTAGCTCTATTAGCTGATTTTCTGTTCCTCTAAATGGTCATGTTTGTCCTCACCTCATGAATAGTTGCTGTTTTTCTGCCTGGAACATCAGGAAGTAGGTGTTCCAGGCAGAAAATATCTCTTCTAGATGTTCACATGAGGTTGCTGGTTTCTCCCTGTCCTTTTGGCCCTGCCCCAAAGTCACCTTCTAGCAGAGGCATTTTCTTGCCACCCTATTAAATTCCCACCTTTCAACCTTTACTTCTTAGCCTGCTTTATTTTCTGGCTAGCATAGTTATTACTGTCAGTAATTATGCTATTTACTTGATTGCTCATCGTATATTCCATTACAATATAAGAAACAAAAGGGTAGAGAATTTGTTTGATTCACCTCTGTATCCCAGTGCCTAGAATGGTGCCTGGCACATAGATATTTCTCAGTTGTTGTTTCTTATATAAATTTAAAAAATGAATGAATGAACATCAGAATGTTTGAAACACCAAGTCTCATTAACTTATTGAAACAACAGTGTGAATTAACAACCCCACAATTACATGTGTCAAAGTCATATCCCATGGCAATTCTTGACACACTTATATTTTATGCTAAACAGGTTGCAGTTACTCTCTCTTCAAGCATCACCCATCTTATTTGATGAAAATCATGATGATGTGAAGAGATAAATGCTGCTACATGCCAAGGAATTTAAATTAAATTTTTGGAACCAAATATTTCTGATTATAGATAAATATAATCTCTTCTTGAAAGACATTTAAAAAAAACAGAGACATCTCTACCAGAATTATCTCATGGTCCATTCAGATTATAATAGTCTTTCCACTTCTACAGACAAGTGGGCCCCTGGGGGTCTCCTTAGGTAAAGAATCTCTGGATAGAAAATTGAGGTTACTAAATGGTCTAGATTCCCTATTTTTATTCTTTAGCTGCTTCTCACACCATTAAATAGGACACACATTAACTTCACATAAAGGTGGTGGTTGTTGTTCAATTAAGTGTACTTTCAACTTTATTACTTTGATTTCTAGACCCTTAATTTCTTTATCTTCATTTCCTGGTTTCTGTTATAGCTGGAAGTACCACACAGAATATTATAAATATGTCATTCTTCCAGGAGATAATGTCCCTGACATTGCCCTACATCTTATGCTTGTGATCAAGTCTTAGGACAAAGTGTCACTGATAATTTGAGGTGGAATAAAAAAAAATCTTTGCAGGAAATCAAGGGGGACTGCCTCCGCCCCCCAGCTTAAAATCGAAGTTCAGGTAATTCATCCCAAGTACATTATGCTCAATGCCACATAAACATGCTAATTCCAGCTTGTACTCACCTTATTCATTCATATTAGACCACCACATTTATAGATATAGAAAATAAAGTTGTATATTTAATCAAGAATGACTTCCCAGGTATCTCTTAAAGAAACAAGATCCTATCTCTCAAAACAACTGAATATGCTTGGGAAGTGACCCTACCTGTCTTTAAATAATGCATCATCGATTCCTTTCCTGCGGAGCAAATCTTGTGGCCCATAGGGCGTATCTTTGCATCTAGAGTCTGTGTCACAGAGCAGAGTCTGCAGGAACGGGAAGAAGCCAGTACTGGGAAGGTTTCGAGGTGCAAGGTAACCTGAAATTTAAAAAAAGAATGATTATATCACTACGATGTTTGCATGTGAACAGGAAGAAGTGCAGTAACTGTTTTGTGAAATGACCTCCTGGATTATTATTGTCTGGGTCCCCTATATACCAAAAGACTGAAAAATACCTGTTGCCCCATGGGTTTCTATTCTTGGGATTTCTTCTAAGGAAATAGCTGCAAGAGTGTTTGCTAGTGCTTTAAAATAAACTACAGTGTATTTGTGTGATCAAACACAATGCAGACTATAAAAATATTGGCAAATAATAAAAAAAATGTTTATAGTATACTGCTATTAAAAATGGTAGATCAGGAAACAGTATGACTACACTAGTCATAATCTTTAAAATATATAAATAGAAGTATATTTTAAAATCTGGAGGGATTTTTTTTCTCCTTGGTGAAAACATTTCACATGATTTTGGTTTACTTTGACGTGACTATATTTTAACTATTTTTTTCCCTTGGGTAATAAAAGTCATTATAAATGAAGCCAATCTTCCAGATATTGGGAAATATTTTTGGTTTTTGTTCTCAAAATTTAACATACCAGCTAAACTAATTATCTTATATACGCAATATTTTTTTCCTATTTAAAAACCAGTAATAATGGTGTGAATGAGTATTCAGATTTTCCCCAATATTAAGGTCACTGAAAACAAGAATTGTAACAGTAAAGGGTTTTGTAAACTTTGCTTTAATATTTGCTTTATAAAATATGACAGTGGTATACACCCAAGTCAAGACAACAGGCAAGCTGTGAAGAACAAATCTTTTCACAATTAGGTTTAATGTTAGAACATTCGATTCCTCCCTTTTGGGGAATACAGAGACAATGAACTTTCAATAAAGGCAAATTTAGAAACTATCAGGGTAATTCCACAGACTAAAAAGCAAAACCTTAACTTCTTTATGAATCTGGTAAAAAGAATGTTAGTACAGGTCTGTTACCTTTACAAAAAGAAAGAGGAAAAGTAAAATGAAAAAAAAAATAGTAAGAGCAACATGGCTAAGTGTGCATTAACATATCAACAGAATGGATGATAGAAATTTGATCTATGTAACTTAATTTCAGATCTACATAAAGGAAAAATAGAAATAAAAGGAAAGGGGGAATAGGAAAGGTGTCCAGAAGAAAAGTAAAGAGGGAAAAAAAACTGAGAGATTGGAAAATGCTAAACTGTTGACTTTGAAGATGCAGGAAGGAGCCAAGGAAAGCAGGCTGACCTCTAGGAACTATGAAAGGTGAGGACGCAGATTCTCCTGGAGCCTCCAGAAGCCCACTGACACCTTAATTTTTAACACACTAGTACTAAATCTTAAACTTCTGTCCTCCAGAACTGTAAAATAATAAGCAGACTTTTTTATGTTTAGTTGACATACAGTTGGTTTTCGGTTTATAACACAGTGACTGGACATGTATATACATTATACCTTATGAAATGACCACCACCATAAGTCGCTACCATCTGTCACCATACAAAGTTATTACAATAGTAGTGACTATATTCCATATGCTGTACTTTACATTTCAGTTGACTTTTATTATAACTGAAAGTTGTATCTCTTAATCCCCTCCACATTTGTCCATCCCCACAACCCTTTCCAATAAACTCATATTGTTTTTAAGCCACTGAGTTTGTCATAATTTGTTACAGCAGCCATGGGAAACTAATATCTAAAATAATACTGGTATGAATTAAAGTTTTGAAAATTTGGAAGAAATTGGAAAGATTTTAAGTCCACCAAACTATTCACTACTACCTTCTAAATAGCTCCTCTTTCTAACACCAGAAAGACCAGTGTCTCTCCTAGTATCAACCCCAAGTGAAAACTGCAGTGAACCTTTGATGTTTTCACTGTAGTGCAATTCCTTGAACAAGCTAGAGAGTAGCTGTCCAATCAATCACCTGTTAGGTTTTCACATCACCCTTCTATAACAAAATTCTGCAACAGTGAACTGCATACAGCAAGATCTTTACAATTCTGCAGTGCAATTTCACCATTAATGGCAATCCACCCTGCTACATGGATCACTCAGGGCATGGACCTGCAAATGGACTTATTCCTATTCCGTCTCAAAGACATGCAGTGCGTCACTTGAATGGAAGGCAGAGAGAAGAGCCACAGAAACAGATGACTGACCCTTCAGCTCTATACCCCTTATCAAAGTGACAGTGTGGCTGACCCGGGTGGTGCTGAAAACAACGGCAGCTCGGGAGAAGCCAAGTTGCAACAGGAAGAGAAGAAAAAATGGGAAAAGATGTCATGGGTAGAAGACATGGACGGACATGGCATATAACATCCAATTTCAGTTTCTCTGGCATTGATCACAGTTATGCAAAATATTAGGAATTTGGAAGAATGTAAACCCAGAACATTCTTTGCTCTGATTACTGTAGAAATGTTTACTTTATAGTAAAATCCATGACAGGATTTCTCTAAAAAGAAGTTCCCACAGTGTTCAAAGTACAGACAGCTCATGCTTTCTTCAGGTTTTTTGATAACTGAATTTAACTGGTTACAATGGGTTCATGCAAATGAGAAACTGGTTTAGGTATGCACAAGTTCCAGTAACACCGTGGCATGCAGAGCGTGGACTGGCTGCATTATTTATTTGCCATCACCTTTTAACCAAGAACCATAGACTCATTAAGTAACTGATGTGTGAAGCATTTACTGTATCCCATGTACTATACTGGGCACGTGACATACACTTACTTCATTCACCTTTTGTCAGTATCGATAATATACCTTCTTACCAACTTTTCACAAAATCTGGAAATGCTCTAGAACTAAAAAGTCAGAATTAAATAGAGTTAAACTTTATTGTAGCTTCTTGTTGGAAAAAAATTTTTTTTCAATCTTATGGCCACCTTGGTTATGTGCAAGGAAGTAACCACTCAGAGCAATGGTGCAATCAAACCTTCACCTGTTTTAAAGAGCTTCTAATTCTGGGTTGAACTCATTCTTTTCTGAAGGTGTCTCTGGCTGGCACTTTCAGGTTCCAAAATTACGTTTCTCTTTATATTCTCAAATGCTAAGATGCAGGAAAAAGAGAAATGTTGCACTATCTTTCACAGAACTTCCAGGCAGCAATCACAGAGCATGCAATTAAGGCTAATAATTGGTTGCCCATGTTCATAGCCAGAGCACAGGCTTAAGGATGTACATAAGGAAGATCTTAATCATGCAAACTGTGGCACCACTTGTAAGTAAAAAACAAACAAACAAACAAACAAGCAAACAAACAGATCTCTGGGTTTGGAGATGGAGTGTTTAGGCAGGATAAAGTCCTTGGTATTATAATTCCCAAAAGTCTCCTATCCAGGACACCATTCATGCCCATCTCCAAGAGAAAGCTATTGAAGAACTCAGGATTTCTCAAAGAAATTGGAGCCAGAAGACTCCACCATATTCTGGGAGTGAGGAGGTCAGCAAAACCCTGAGGCACTTGTGGTTTCGTTCCTCAGGGACTCCAGAGAGAGGCAGGAGGTCATTGGAGCTGTCATCCATGGGTGGGAAGAGGGTCTTTTTATAAAATGGATTTGGTCAGCATTATTGACACAGTCCAATAGTAACAATGACAGAACCCAATGTTACTTCAGGGAGTTGAATCAAACCAATTACAAAACATTTTTAGGGACAAGCCACCAATTAGCTAAGCTTTCAATTAAATCAAATTCAGGTTTGAGTTTTTAAAGAATGGAACAGACATTCTTTAAAAGATAAAAAGATCCAGATTAAAAAAAATAGATACTTTATGAAGAATTGTGATAACCTATATTACACATATGTTTAACTAAAATGGGGTTCAAGCTTGATTTTCCTTTCCCTTTCTGCACAGAAGCCCTTATTCAGGACAGTATTAGTGTGACATAAAGTAAAGATTAGAGCGGTGGCTCTCAGAATGTGGTTCCTGGACCCACAACATCAACACCACCTGGGAACTTATTGGAAGTGAAAATTTGAGATCCCACCCCAGATTACTTAATCAGAAACTCTGGGGATGGGGCTCAGCAATCTTTAAAACAAGCCCTCCAGGTACTTGTGATGCACACTAAAGTGTGCGAGCAATTTTATTAGATTGCAAACTTTTTCAGAAGAGGCAGATACTAAGTAATTTAAGTGGTGGGTCATGCTATCTCCATCACAATGACTCAACTCTGACATTATAGTATGAAGGCAGCCATAGATCATGTGTTCAACAATGGGCCTGGTTGCATTCCAATAAAACTTTAGAAACAACAAAAAGACACTAGACTGTATTTGGCCCATGGGCTGTAGTTTGCTGACCCCCAGGAGGATAGCCATTCTTATATTTGTCCCTCTCCCTCTCCTGCATTATTCATTTTTTTCTTTTAAATGAAAAATCGTTGAAATACAATCAGATGTACAATATAGTGATTCGACAATTATATACACTGCTAAATGCTCACCACGATAAGTGCAGTTACCATCTGTCAACATGCAAAGAAATTACAACGTTATTGACTACACTCCCTATGCTGTACTTTCGTCCCTGTGACTAATATATTTTATAACTGGAAGTTTGTACCTCTTTATTCCCTTCACCTAATTCATCCATCTCCCCACCCGCTTCTTCACTTTTTTCCTCATCCTTCTCTTTCTCTTCCCTCATCTCATCTAATTTACTTAAAATCCATTAATATCCCTTTTCCTCTGTAACTCAGTCTTTTGTTCTTGCCTTTCCATCACCAACCTCCTCTTTTGACTCAATTTCTAATTCTTCTTTTCTCCTCCTCCTGCTACCCACCCCCCTTTCCCTCACCCACCCGTCTTTCTCTTTACTCATTGATACAGCCATAAATGCACATTTTTCTCACGGTCCTCTCTTACTCATTCTCTTTTTTTCGCCACTAGAGAAGGATTTTTCACTTCTGTAGTAAAATCAGCAGAATGCTGCTCATTGGCACCATCTACAGAAGTGCTATTTTCTATTGGTTGTTTTTTTAAAGAAAGAAATGTCA